ATTCTCGGCGAAGGTTAACTAAAAAACGGTGCCGTCAATTCCTTCATTTCAATTTGTTACTTAACACGAAAAACATTTTACTGACTTTAGTTGATAGTTGACGTGCGAAGTTTTCAAAACAATAGCAGACGACTTCTCTTCATTTTTGGAAAACGATTTCAAAAACACGTCTTTACTTTGTGAGATAGATCCGCGAAATTGAAAATGTCAAAATTGTTCATGCCTTCATGTAAGTACCTTATGAGCTATATTACATTAGAAGCGTATAATAATTATCTTTTGTTATTGTGGCATAATTTAAATGTATGCCTAGATGGTAAAATGAAGCAAACGAGTTCTTTATTACTGGCAAACGATTTCAAAAATAAGCGTTATTTTGTAAAACATTTCCGTGATGTGGAACGCGTTTATTCAAGGGCAATACCAAAACCAGTGTTATATTTAAGGTGTGCAATAAATAATATGTGTACAATAAATAGGTATAGTGAAATAATATAATTTCATGCTAATGTTATAACTTTTTCTAGCGTAATAATATATGGAAATTTTACATTCGCCTTTTCTTTAGTGAAACAAGTTGAAACTTAAGTTCGTATTCTTTATCAAAGATATCCAAAAAATGTTCCGTGTCACACTAGGGTACCTCAGACAAATGCATCATGACTTTAAGATTAATTCTTTATTAGTAATCTGTTACTAAGATATAAAGTAGAGTTCTACATGTATGTAATATATTAGTACCCCGTTCGAAGGAAAAAGCTATGAGGATTTTCATTTTCACCGTTTTTTTCATAATTGTACAAAACTCTGTTTTTAACAGTTGCCGTGAAAAGCAAGTAAATAACTAAGAATAAATGCGAGTAGCTACTTAAAGCTTTATTTCATGATGTAAAAAATTATGTAGAATTACAAGCTCAACCATCGAATTTCAAAATTTTTAAATATTGATATTTGGCAATATCAAATCTGTCTCTCTCTTCTTTTAGTTACTTTTGATGGACATCAACTCAATTTCGAGGATTTAAAATGAAGATCTCGAGGGAGAAAAATACGTTTTTTCACAGCAATGGATGAATAACCAAAATTTACAGGAAAGAAAAAACCTGCACAATATTTACACAAAAAGCACTTAAAATTGTAATAACTTTCGAACAAATTTTAAAAAAAAATGTTTGCTTTTTACGAAAATTCTTTTAACATGTCAAGTTTCAACTCCGTAGTTGCATTTCAGCGGCACAGCAGATCGTCATTTCTTTATTCAAAGTTTAACAATTAATAATTCTCGAACTAATCATTAATACGTTACATTTTTTTTTATTTCGTCGTACTCCCTGTACATTTTTCTACGACCTACCAATAAAGCGAGGGGAAAAAAGCAAAATGTTCACGGAAAGAGCACTTAAAATAGCACTAACTTTTGAGCAAATTATTCGAAAACAAGTTCGACTTAAGTCCATAAACTAATATGGACCTTTCATCACGTCAAATTCCAGTTCAGTAGTTGCATTTCAAGGGTGTATAGAGCGGCCCCCGTATTTTTTACTGCAAGTTTAACAGTTAATAATTCTCGGACTAATTATAAAAAGTAAAAAAATTTTTTTGTTCCGCCACACACCCTGCAAATTTCTTCACACTCCATTGTATTATAGTTTCTGAGCAGCAAAACAAAGTGCATCCCAAAGTTGAACACCCAAAACAATGGTTGTGTCGTTTGCATTTTTTTAAATATACAGACAAACATTTAAAAAAAATTTCAACACTTGTTGAGAGGGCTGTTACTCGACAACATTTTATTCAAAGCAAAATGTTCCCCCCTCCGTCACTTTTTTTTTAGATTTGCAAGACCGTCCCAAAGTTTAAAAAAACTGGGAAGATGTATGAAAATTTAAAATTCCTCGAAAGTTTTTTTAATAAATTTTAGAGGCAGAAAATAAATTAAAAATTATGCATTTAGTTCTTTATTCTTTGTAAGAGAGAAAATAAAATTTTCGTGTTTTACAATCAATACTTTCGATTTTTTGCATTTATATTACACTTATACTTTTTATAGTGCCTTTTTCAGCATTATTTTTTTGTCTCATTTAAAGAACTCAAAAATAATTTATTTTCATATATTATAGGCCTTTGTTTTAATATCTAAGATTAAAGAACTTTATGATTGCAAAAAACATAATCAGAGTCATCGTAATGTCAAAGCTTCAAGTTGGGGAGAGTGTTACACATTTATTGTAATAACACAACGCTCATTTGCTAAATACAAAAAAAGAAGAAAAAAAAGGAAAAAAGAAGAAGAAAAAAAACGTCCCCCCTCCCTAATTTTTGATGTAGTGATCGGATTTTTAAGAATAATTCCTAAAAACTAAAAATTTAACTACCTGTCAATGCAAAAAAAATAAATAAATAAATAAAAAGAGGAAAAAACAGTTTTCTTCTAATTTTTGATCTAGTGATCGGAATTTTAAGAATAATAACTAAAAATGTTAAATAATAATCATGCATGAACATTAAGCACCCTAATGTTCATTACACAATTACGCTTCATACGTATTTCCGAATATCCATCGAACTACTTAAGAAAATCAAACAATGTTTGCATAGAATTTTAAAACTCGCAGATTCAAATGCAAAAAAAATATGAAAAGGATCATTCTATGCAAAAAAAAAAAAAAAAATTCTCATTCTGTCCTATATCTAAACTATATTTTCCATATTTTGAGGTTCAACAATTCAAATTCATAGAAAAAAAAGGTATATTTATTCAGAGAAAATACGTTTGTGTGTCTGATTTCATAACTTAAAATATTGTAATCGTTAAACTAAGTAGCATATTTAAGTTAAGCTCTTTGACCATTGAGACTGCATCTTAATACGTGATATTTTGATAATTAGATCAAGAGGTATTAAGGTGTTCAGTTTTTTTTTTATTTAGAGAACCCTACTATAATTATTTTTTGAATAAATGAGCAATCAGATCGAAATCCTGAGTTATAAGCCATTTTTGCCAGGCACTTCAATTGTATTGATGATTATGAAACATGGATTAATGAGATCGGAAGGAAATAAAATTTAAGTCCAGATAAATATATTTACCATGCACTGACATACTCACAGCTCGAAAATTTAGACTAATACATTAGACGTAATAATGCTTATAGTACAGTCGATCTTGATAGTACAAATATTTCAGCTGGAAAAATTTTAACTAATTAGATGTAATAATATTTATGGTACTGTCGATCTTGATTGTACAAATATTTTAAGTCATATTTTAGATTAATGGTGTACATTTTACTCATTAATATATCTTATCCATAGATATTAGGAAAACATTTTTATTAAGCTTTAGTTTCTTATATTGTAACTTTTTTTCATTCAATATTTAAGTTGCATAGAAAAAAAATAGGCTCTGATAGCAAGTTTAGTACCTTTTTTATAAATCAAACATCATCAATTTTTAAATTATTTTAATTTAAATTTGTTTGTTGCACAAAATTCAATTATCAGACTGCATTTTATCGGTACTAAATTCAATGATTTATATTCCTATATATGAAGCAGCTATTGTATATTACAATCGATATTTTAATTTTCTTTTCTTTTTGCATTTAATGGTGGATATAGATTTTTTCTTAAAATATTGAAATGTTGATAAATTTCAACACAATGTTTTACATAGCTCCATTCAATTTAATATATGATCAGGAAATTAAAATATATGCAGATTCATGCACGTTAAATTTTAAAGAAAATCTAGAATTAATAGCTTTTTCAATAGAAAAATTGGTGGTCTTCATCTAAAAAGAAGCCAATAATTTTACCTACATGGCCTTTTGTTCTACTTTTCTTTTTAAGATGAAATTAAAACATTTGCAGTTCTTATTATTAAATAAAAAGAAAGGGAAAAAAAGAGGAATGATTTTAGGTGTTTTTGGCAAAATGAATGTAAAACAGCCTTCACCTGGAAAGAATGGGGATATATACCACACAAAACTCCACTTTCAATGATCATGGCTTCTATTGATCACAAAATGAAAATATTGGCCGTTCTTATAATGTATACAAAAATAAATAAATAAATAGAGTAAACGTCTTCAGATATTTCACTGAATAAATTTCAAACTGGCAACCCTTACCTGGAAATATTGAGAGGGGGGTGATAACCGATCCCTAACACCCCTGTTGTGACACCCTTGGTCATCATAGCTATAACTTTTTAGATTATTACCAATGTTTGCTTTATAAATCAGTAAAATGCATTCATTGTTTATATTAGATGGCAATATTTGTCCATAAGTTTTTTCTAAGGGATAAAACACCAAGAAAAGTAAAGAAGTTTATTATAAATGGATGGCAGAGTAGAAATCCCAATATTGATATAGCCAATGCATTTCTTTGCAAATTGTAGCAGCAATTTCACAAAGTAACTTTTTTTAAATAATTAAAGAGGAAATACACTGTGTAATATGCAACATTTTTCGTCCTGTCTAAGAATTGAAAATTAAAAGTAAGAAAATTTCCAAAGTAGAATAAATAAATAAAAATAAGTTATAATTTTTTTTTTCCTTCTTGATAAACTTAGTAAGTTTTTGGATAATCTTAACTTTGAGAGTCAAACTTCAGTGAATATTCTGTTATGAAAGACTAGAAATTCAGTATCAAACTTAACTATGAAAAACAAAATTTTGTGAAAGACTAAAAATGGTTTCAAAATATTGAAATTGAATTTACCCTTTAAAGAAAAAGATGAAAGATTAAAAAAAAAAGACATTATTTTAAGATATATTCACAAATCTAAGCAATAATTGAAAATAAATAATAGAATCTACACTGCGACTATATTATTCATGATTATGAGCATGAGTAATAGCTTTTCTCTTTTTTATGTTATTTAATGTCATTAATCAAACTAAACCTTTAGAATTAAAAGAAGATCTTATGAAGTAGAGATAAGTGGCAGTAAAGTATAGATAAGTGAAGACCAAATTTTGTTTTAGAATTACCTCCAAATCTGACATCTTGTACCGGTACAGCATTATATGGAACCCACGATGAATATTGTGGGTATACAATGGGATACGAAATTCTATTGAAATCCATCGTAGCAAGTTTTTCAATTTCCAATAATGTGGTTTTCAAAGATTTGCAAACTAGTGCAAAACAAATCACCTGAAATAATGCTGCGAAATGAATAATTAAGGAAACATGAGTACTATGGTTCTGAAAAATTTTGAAACAATTGGAAGAATTATATAGCGAAATTTTAATTTAGTTACCTAACTTATCTTTATTAAAGGAATAAACATAAATTAAGTCAATAGGATGGGTCTAAAAATACTTATTAATTGCTTCGGTACTTCTAAAGATAGTACCTAGTTTTATTTATAAGAAAACATTTTAAAAAAATACATTAATTAAAAACATCGGATGGCTACAGATTCTTTTGTTATAGTGAGATTTAACAAAAGAAACAAGCCACCAGAAACAGAAATCTCAAATTAATCATTAAAATTTTGCAAAATCGCTTTTAAATTTTTTAAAAAAAATTTATAATCCATTTTCAAGAATCTTCATTTTCCTTCCAACTAATTTAAACTTTTCTTTAAAAAGGATTAAAATTAGAGAAGCACAGCTTTTTTAAAAAAAAGAGGAGCCACCAGGTAAAATAATTGAGCTTTATTTTACCTTTATTTTAAAGAACAAAATAATCTAAAATATTTTTATATGAATTTAATATAAAAGCTGATTTAAAAACTAATCAAATTGGTTTTATTTGTTGAATAGATTAAGAAGTATTATATAAAATTAAAAAAAAATTATAAATATTTATAAGAAACATTACAGAAAAAAGGAAAAATAAATGTTTGCAAAATAGTTTTTTCTTTGGAATTATACATCTCCCCATCAGAAACCAGTTTCAATATCTTTATTTAAGCATAAACTACACCATTTGCTTTTAAAACTTCATAATCAAAGAAAGATTCTTAAAATTTTTAAGTACATATAAATAAAATTAGGATTTTTTGGCGTGATAAAAAAGGAAAATATTTTCACAACAGCCCGCTGTGGGCCATGGAGGTTAAGGTTTCACTATTTTGTAACCAACAATATGATTGTAGCAATTTGGTCAGCATTGTACACAGGTTGTCATTGCTTCTCAGAAAAGCTGATACCCATCAATATGAAGTTGGGCAGGATTCAAACCACAACTGGGGATAAAATCCCTTCCCTTAGGATAGATTCCTTTAAGTCTTGTCAAAATTAACAAAATCATGGGCTAAAATGACACATTAAATTAGAAGAAATTTTAAGTAGGATCAACCTAGGAAACATTTCCATATGTGTACCTATTAGTTCCAAATGTAATTACTAGTAAGTTAAAGAAATATGTAGGTATAGCAGTTTGTATAGGGGTGAATATGAATTTTACTTTTGTTATTTGTACCAAGCTGAAACGTTTTTCACAGTTTCGCGCGAACTCTTTTCAGATGTTAGTAAAATCCTAGAATAGGCCACTCCTTGACGACTTTTTAAAATAAGGTTTATTATTACTTGGATCAATGCGCTTTTTTAATTATTTAAAAAAAAATTTAAATTTTTACAAATTTATTAAAATATTAATAAAATAAAAACTTGAAATAAGGTTGCAACATATATCCCTGAAATATCTTCCAGAAACCTAGTGTGAGCAGATTTCAAAAAGTCGCCACGGGGTGGGCTATTCTAGGAACCGCGTCAGAAGGGTAATTGCATGGGTGATTGTGAGCCCAAGTCAAAATTCCAGAAAATTTCCCAAGTTAAAAAAAAAAAAAAAACAGTTTAAATTGAAAAAAATTTAAACAAGTTTTTTTTTCTTCCTTTTTCTCAATATTTCTTAGTTTACTTAAAATATATTTAAAATATTACACATACCTATACCATTTACACATACCTATGATGACCCGGAGAAGTAATTAAAATTTACAAATATGTCTTTCTTTCTTGAGTTTATGATTATAACAACTATTTACTGATAAAAAATGAATATTAATCATGAATATAAGCTTATAAAGTATCTCTCTGGCTCTCCCTTACAAACAAATAAAATAAACTGTACTTTTAAGTTCCAGCTTTGAAAATTTGATTTCCGGAAACTTCTGTGATCAAAGATTTTTTGAAACGTCTGGACCTTTGATCTCCGGAAACTACCGGATCACTGGTAGCGAAAATTCCGGAAATCCGTATTTTTTCGGGAGCACAATCAGCCCTGTAATTATCAAACCACGGAAAATATCTTGACACAGGTTAAAAATGAGGAAATTTTTTGATGTTAATAGAAGCTGTATGTAATCCCAATAGAAGCTGCATGTAATCACAAACAATTGATGACAAATTTAAAAACTGTATCTGAATAAAAAATGTTGTAGATAATGTATTTAGTGCATGAGTGAGAGTTGTACGGTTAGCGGTTGTTGAGGAAAGGTACAAAGTTTAATCGCAGAAAAAGGTCACACATTCTTTTCTTTCAGTGTAATATAGGACAATAAAGAGAAAGACAGTCTTAGAGAGATTAAAGGGAAAAAAACATTTTTTATATCGAAATGTAATCCCAAATTTAGAATTTATTGACAATTACAATCAAAGCTATTCTGATTGGGGGATATTTCCGTACTCCGATTGCACCACATACAAATAAAAAAGGTACAAGTTTTGACACTTACTTTTAAATTATATAACTAGATCAATAACAAATCCAAACAAATTGATTCATAGTGAATTAATAATAATATAATACGATTCAAAAATGTACCAGAAAAATAAAAGTTTCAGTTTCAAAACACAAAAATAAATTTTCTTGAATTGTTTACTTACACGAGACAGTTGTGGAGGTTGCCCCTGCCGTTCATTTATACGTTCTCTACGGTTTCAATGTTTGAGTTTGAAAAATATAAATACATTAAGTAGCATTACGAACAGTTTAAAAGACTAAATAAACTGAGTGAACGGAAGAGATTCAGTGTTATTTAAGAACGCAAAGGGGAATTAGCTTTTTGTTGCCATAAATTTTTTAATAAATTCATAAAATTATCCATACACTCTCTTCCATTTTTATTAATTTTGATTTGCATTTATTACAAATAAACGCAATTTTTTACCTTACAAAGAAGTATTTACAGTTTTATTTACAAAAAAAGATTTTTAATTTTTGGTGGCATTATCATTTTGTGCTGTCATGTGATTGTGAGGTCGTCTGGATTTTTGCAGATCTCTGTTTTGGTTATACAAAAATTTAGATTAAAGGCCTCTAATTTTTACAATTGTATAATTTTCCATTTCTAAGCTATTATGGAGCTTAAGCCGAAGCTTTCGTCTTTATCTGATGACATAGAAAAGGAAGGTTAGTTTAATTTTTATATGGACAAATATATGTTTTGTAATCGGCCACTATGAAGGGATGGGTCACAATTTTATGCAAAAATAAATAAATAAAATTGTATAATTTTTATTGAAGATGAATTTTGTATGTTTACAATTTAATGCTTTGATGTTTTGTTCTTATGTTTATGGTTAGCCTCTCATAATTCTTAACGTTGAGCTATTGCTGTAAAAATAGTTATTTCGATAAACGTTTGAATATTTTTATGAAAACTGCTTAAAAATTTTAAGTAAATGCAAGTCTTAATATAAACCTCTTAAAATATTAATATAAACTGTAAATAAAGATCCAAAATTATTATAAAATCTTCTCAAACTGTTATATTTTATTGTAGTAAACAATTAACATAATAAGTAAATAACTGAATTTCTGTAGTTATTCTATTATTTATTTCAAGAGAAACTTGAACTGGACTTGCTGTATTTAAGAATAATCTGAATTTCAACAGAGAATGCGTATTAAGTCATATATAATTAATATTATAAAATGTTATATAATCAATAATATATCATCAGATAAATGTTTAGTTCAATTTTTCTCACTGATTTTTTTGTTCTTATATCGGTATGAACATTTGATAATGTAGAAATATCTAGGTGATTGCGAAATTGAACATTACTTGTTCTCTGACAAAATTGCAACATCATATTAAAATTGGTACAGTTGAACTCAATTATAAAGAGCACAAAGGGATCAAAATATTTGCTTATTACTGAGTGCTTGTAAAAAGTAGATTTGTGAAAAAATTTTAAAAGTTCATGCACACTTACTAAATTAGAAATTTAGTATTTTTTTTTCTCTACAGTTCTAAAGAATTACTTAATTTACTTTAAACTGTTATATTGTATCTCTTGTGTATTATTATTGTCCTTCAAGTAAGACTCATGGCTCAAAAAGGAATTTGTCAACAAGAAAAACATTCAAATAAAGAAATTCATTGGCTTAAAAAACATAAAAAAACAATTTATTGACTAGTAAATCATCAAAATAAGGAATTCTTTGGCCTGAAAAGCATCAAAATAAAAAAATATCCAAGAAAGAATTAGTTGAGCTGGTGAGTTGAAACTAAGTTGAATTTATATGAATCACTGAAATATTGCTTTTTATAAATTTTTTTTTAATAATAGCGAGTTATGTTCCTTTAGACTTAACATTGTTTCAACCAAGTGTTTCTAATTTCTTCATTAAATCAGAATTCGTTAGAAGTGTGTTAAACTGTATTATGATAATTATAAAAATATATGATCTAGTAATACATTTATGCATTCATGAGTATCTCTCTAATTATTAATATAAATTAACTTTAAATCATAGTTTCAAGTTTTTTTTAAACTGCTTCAAAATCAAAACAATTATGATTCATTTCTTGAAGATTTTCTACTGGCAACTCATAATTAAGAGGTTGTGTGCTAAACTATTTGTTAAGAGATGTTAGGAAACTCGTAAAAAGTTTCTTGGCTACAAAATCTGACAAATATTTGTATTGTGTAATAACAATCCTTAAAAAGCATTTTTGATTTATTAAAAAGTATATTTGATTATCTAAAGTTTTCCATCAAGGATTTCATTTCGTAAGGAAAATATCAAAAAAATCGATGCATTACTTTTTATTTATTATAAAAGTATTTAAATTATCTCTCTTTCTAAAATTATTTTTTTATTTTATTTATTTGTTGCTGCTTTTAATACTTTTTTTTATTTTATTTATTTGTGTGTTTTAAAAGTTAACTATATAAAGCAGAAAATACTCAAAATTGTGACAAAGGTTGCAGAATAATCCTGCTGAGCAATTTATGTTTGAAGTAGAATTATTTATATCTACATCTTTGCTTAAAAATATGATGAAATTTTTATATCCTGTTAATTAATTTTGTTCCATTATTATGATTACATTTTAATTTATTAAACTAATTATGGTTTCATGTTTTATAATTTTAGTTTACAAAATAAAATTATTCATCATTGAACAGAATAATTTGTTAGTCCATTTTTGACGATACCCACACAAAATGTTTATTATAAAAAATGTTGCTGAACTTTAGATGTGATTCTGCTTCTAGATAAATAGCTCTATTAATTTAATTGTATTTTTGTATTAATAATTGTTTTCTTTCAGGTGTATTAGATGCCACTGGAGCTCTGCAACAGCGAGCTGCTGAAATTCGATCTCAGATGGTTAATTGGATGTCATACCTTCAGTAAGTTCTTGTTTAGTTGTATATATATTCTTTATTCTAGTGAGCTAAGTTTAAGAAAACTATAGATTTCTGAATGTTTTTTTTATGTGTAGAGTGATTTCACATCATCTTCATATCATCATTCGGATAAAATAAAATAATTCATATATTGAATTAAAGTTTACTTAATGTTATATTGTATGCTTTTTATATTATATATCATATATATCAATATAAGGAAATTAATTATTTTTTTTATCTGCATTCTATTCTTTTTGTTCTTGGAAAATTCGTGTAAACTTAATCCATGCAAATCATCCATGCAAAAATTTCAGATCATTAAATTAGTCTTAATTAGTTGACTGTAAATTTGAGTAGTAGTTAACAATTATCCCATGCTAATAATGTTTAAAAAGAATGATTTTTTTATTGTTACTGGTGTATACAATCTTGTAAAACACTAACAAATATGTTTAATGAAGCATGCATCATTTATATAACTTTTGTTATTTGATTTTTACAATTCACTAAACTTATATTTTGCTGTCTAAGAACATTGAAGCAATCAATCAATGATTTTCTGTTAAAAATAACTTTGATTGTTCCAAATAAATTTTTGCTTGATTTTATTTATTCTGATTATTATATAATATTAATAAAATTAAACTCTGATGTTTGAACATAACTATGTCATTTTTGAAAGCTAACTTATTTTTCATATTAATAATCTGAATAAAATAATCTAAATGAGCTCAAATATTATATAATTGTGTATTTTTGGTTAAAAAATCTATAATCATTTGTATTTTTTGTTTTGTATGTACTTTTAAATTTGATGTAATTTTTACTGTATTAAATTTATGATTTTTTTAAAAAATATTTCTGTATAAGCAGAATAAGGTGAGAAGCTGAATGCTACAACTTTCTTCTTTTTTTATTTAAAAAAAAAAAAAAAGTATTGTTCAAGAAACAATGCAATAAGGAAAAAAGAAAGGCTTGATTTGATTATAAAACTCCACATTCAATTTCTCCTTTTTTTTTTTTAAACAATACTATTAATTATTTCCTTTTCATTACTTATATTTTCAAATACTAATGGTTCATTAATTGTGTAAAGCCTTAAGTGAACCTTAGAAAAATAGTCATCAAGATGTTTTTTAAACTTTTTTTCTTAACCATGAAATTTTTTTTTTTTTTACCCCATTAAACATAAGAAATTTTATAATAGATTTCTAAAATCTTAATTTATTAGACTTTTTGGAAAGTATATGTGTTTTCTTTTTAATAACCAAATGCTTTGTTTTTACGAGAAATGAAAAAAAAATTTTTTTAAATCTTTTTCAAATCTTTACAGGAGTAATATGATTAATCAGGATGATTATAACTTTATCATTGCATTTGATAAAGCTAGAGACAAGAAATCTCGGGATGCTATCTTAGAGACTCAAGGAAGCCAGTGTTCTAAAACATTCTTGAGTATGCTGGGACATATATCCAAAGATCAAACTTTGCAGTATATTCTTATCATGATCGATGATATGTTGCAGGTGTGTATGATGTACAAAAATTTTTTCCTGAGAAGCACATTATTTTATTAATGTATGTACGATATTTTTGAGTATAATTTTTTTTAAATGAATACTGAATTTTTTTTAAATATGCCTTAAAATACGGTATGAAGATTGAGATAATATTCTATAGTGAATTCTCGAGATAGTATTGGTTTAGAACATTATATGTTTCTTAGACAATTTTCCACCTTATACAAGCATTATAGTGCTGCTTTAAAAAATTTCCATAAATAGCAGCAAGTTATGTTTTTAATTATGGAAAAACATTTAAATATTTCTTTAAAATTTAAAAAAATAAAACATTAAGAAGGAATTGTTTGTTTTGATAAATAATAAACTTAGTTCTGTAGCCATTAAAAATTTTCATTGGTCACCTTTTACATTATTTTACATGTCAAATTCATTGTTTTTCTGTTTCAAGATTATTGAAAACTTACTTTAAAATTATTTGATTAAAGATGTTTTGGAACTTGATTACAAACTCTAATTAAATATTGATATGAGGAAATATTATCTAATGTAGGGGTGCACAACCTTTTTGAGTGAAGGGCCACTTGCACAGCAGGTTGGCTAACGAAGGGCCGCACATGTATTTGGAGATGTTAATGACAAATGTAGTAATGTTTATTTAAACATTAGCGTTCCATTTTTTTTATCAATAAACTTAGTCATATCAATAACTTAGTAGTGTTCCATTATTAGAATTCATTCAAAATAAAAAAACTTATACTTTTTTTTTACAAAAAAAAACTTGCTATTTTTATCATATGAACAATAGATTTATCAAAATAAATAAACATTGAAGAAAAGAAATGTTTTTTTTTCTATCATATGCAATACGAAAATTTATTTTAGAATTAAATTCTAATAAATAAATAAAAAAACTGCAATCCCCACAGAATGAAAGTAGGAAAAAGTTTAGTCATAATTAAGTAATATAAATTTAAATTAAATATTTTAATGGAAGAAAATTTATAGGTTTTAAACAAAAGCCTAAAATAAAAACAAAACTGTGATAGTTCAAAATAAAATTAAATGCTTATTTTGTAATGTACTTTATTATTTTATTTTATTAATTATTAGATTTTTTTATATCGTAAACATTTTCCTTTTTTTTTTCGAAAAAGATCACTTAAGCAACAAAAAATTGAAATCTAAACTACTAACAGTGAGCAGTTTAAAAATTCACGTTTTCCGCCATTTTATGAATTTCTCAAGTTGCAATAACATTGCATTTAAATTAGGGAGGGATGTAACGAGTATTTGGCCCTTCTGTGAAAAATTCAGTTGGTTGAATGATCAGTCAAATATTTGGCAAAATATTTTTTAGAAATGCATTTTTCTAAGTTTTTTTTATTTTTGAATTTTTATAGATATTACTTTTTTTTTTTAAATTATAATCAGACAAGTCAATTTTGTCATTTTTTCGATACTTTGAGAATTGAGAAGGATCCATTTTTTGCAGTTTTTATTATAACCCAGCATTTTAACAGAACGTCTCATACTATTAATTTATTATCACTCTTTCCCTGTACTGTAATATAAATAACCAGTAACATAGAAAAGTGTGATTTTCAGCATTAAAGTTTTGTTTCAGGAACTAAGAAAAATTTGTTTTTTCTGTTTTTCTTTTTTTAGGCATTTTTATTATGACTCAGCATTTTTTTAAAAATAAAGTTACAAATAAAAAAAAATTTTATAGCAATTTTTTTTCTTCTAAAATTATGGCAATGAGAAAAATTTAAATTGAGATTTTCGGCATAAGATTTTCACTTAAAAAATTAAGAACATTTTTTCTATCTTTTTATTTTCTTTAAAAAAAAAAAAAACTTTTTTTAGACGTTTTCATTATAACGCAGTAATTTTTAATAGCATTTCTGTTGACTTAATTCTTTTTTCTTGGCTTTTTCTGGTAATTGAAAAACTGAGATGTTCAGCTTTAAAAAAATTTTTCAAAAATTAAGATTGATTTTTATGTTCTCTGTTTCGCTTTTCGACATTTTCAAAAACGTTCTTGATTGGCCTTATTTTTTAGAGTTAATTTATGAATACGTTTTTCCAGGAAATATTATTCTGAGCATTGAAATTTTAGTTTCAGTGTTGCTATGCTGCTAAAAGATTTTGCTATTTGGCCCCAAGTGTACGGCGTTCAGTCGATTTTTTCTTCTTCTTTTTTTTGCCGAATACTTGGTTTCTGATCAAATCACAATTCATTACCACATTCGACCAAATCATATTCGTTGCGGAAATAAAAGTGAAGGAAAAATAACTAGGATTTATGATAAAACTGTACCGAAATACCGTATCAAAAAGTGATTATTTAATTGCGCGATTAACAATCACATGTCGTAATAACATCATAGTTAAATAACGGGATCGTCCAAATCATGTGGAAAAGTATAGAAATAATTGGGAAAAAATATATTTATGCTGAACTCAGCACGAATAAAGCGTGTTAAATGCATGATTTAAAATTTGCATGTCGTAATAGAATAATTGGAATTTTTATAATGCGTGGGAACACATAACAATAACTGCCGAAAAAAATGTTGAAAAAAAAGAAAGAATTGCAAAAAAAAAGATAAAAAATCACTTAGATTTAAGATGAAATCGTCATAAATAAAGTGCACAGAAAGTGATTATGCGATCTGCAACTCGCGTTGTAATAAAAATTCGGGATTTTCGAAATCACGTAGAAAAGCGGAAATAACTGTTTAAAAAAAATCATTTATATTTACGATAAAATCGGCTTAAAGAAAACGCATTAAACGTTCATTTACTAAAAAATCTGTTAAAATTGATTGTGTCAAAACGTGATGATTTAAAAGTGCGATTAAAAATTGCCATTTTTAAAATTTTTTTTATTGTGTTTAGAAGCTCTCGCGGGCCGCACTTCATTAGTCGAAGGGCCGCATTTGGCCCGCGGGCCGCAGGTTGTGCACCCCTAATCTAATGGATATATTTAATGGATTATAATATTATCTAATGGATTATAGTAATTTTTATTATTTATTTGCAGTAAAATTTGCTTTATTACACTTTAGTGGAGAAAATTATGCTTTTTGTTTGGCAGTTGCCTTTTTTAAAAGTAGTATGGTGTATATGTGTACTGTTTCGAAAATTGTCCTGATTGTTTTTTCGGGCCACTATGAAGCCTGGATTTGCAGGGACTTTTTAGACAGATTTTATTTTTTTCTTTAGACAGATTTTATTGTATATTCTACATTAAGTTGAATAATAATAGGCAATTTATAAAAAAATACTATGTTTAAGCATGATGTAAAGAACACATAATAAATACATTTTAAATGTTATTTATGTGTATAATTTTCTATTTATTTATTTAAAAATAGTGTTGCATGTTTCATATTCATATATAATCTTTCGTAAACACTTTATTTGTTTCTTAATTTTATAATGAAAATTCTAGGAAGATAAATCAAGAGTAGAATTGTTTAAGCCTAAACATTCAAAGAAAAAAAGTGATTCTACCTGGAGTCCATTTTTGCAGTTATTGAATCGACCAGATGGATTTATTATGAACATGGTGAGTATCACTTTGTTAGAAAAACATAACATTTTCTTTGACTACAGAAAATTACACTTATAAGTCTTTTTGTTCATATGCTTTAAATTATGATATGAAATAAATGTATGGAACAAAATGTTTTTTTGGTATTGTTAATTTAAACCATTATCATTGATGTTTGTAAAAAATTACTTTAATCTTTGTTCTCTTTTCAAATTTTAATTTTTTTTCCTTCCAAAGTTTTAGTTGTAACTGAAAGTTGTTTATTACCATTAATGTTTGTAAAAAGTTACTCAACCCTTGTTTTTTTTCCAATTTTTTTATTTTGAAATTTTATTTGTAATTAAAAGTTGTTCATGACTCCTTGATGGTGCTCTTGTTTTCTTCCATAATGTTGCTTATCAAATTTTCTAAATATTGGCTGTCTGGGTTGGATTAAGTATTGCCAACATATGATTGAAAATCTTACTGCAAAAACTTCATATTATTTTAAATTCTTTTTTAAAAGCTCAATTTCTTTTCTTTCCCCCCCCTTTTTTTAGTTACTGAAATTACAGTTTTTGTTATTCACCTATCGAGTTCTGAAATATAAATAAATAATGAAATCTGTACGATAAGGAGTTGTTTGCACTATTTGCTGTTTGATTAATTGATAATTTCTGACATTTCTATGCTGTGAGATAATTTCTGGCAGGACTAAAAATGTAGCCATTATTTTTTTTCTGAAAATCTTATGTTGCACAGTTGAAATTTTATTTTTAATTGTGAAAAATAGCAGTAATTATTCAATTAATAACAATAGATGTAATCCATTGTTTTATTAAACATAGTGAGGCAAAAATGACATTAAAATAAAGAATAGACAACAGCTGATAGGCTTCCCTTGTGTGCCAGATCCCATTATGAGATGAGGAGGAAAAAATGGAAGCTGGTTGTAGTGCTTGCTAAATAATAGGTATAATATTTGCTGGTATAAAGATTCGTGAATGTCTGTGATTATTTTTTTATTTTCAACAGAAAATTCTCCTGTAATCTATGAAGATATTTTAAGTTTTTGAATTTTCTATAATAATTTACTATATTGGGTATATCACTGTAACAGTAGAATTTTAAAATACTACTGTTACTATTTTAAAATATAATTTTATAAATTTTGGACCTTACAAATTTTTATTGCTCTTTTCAGACTAGTCGTATTATAGCTAAATTGGCATGCTGGAGTAAAGAGTTAATGGATGGCTCTGATTTGAATTACTATCTAACATGGTTAAAAGATCAACTCAAACAGCCAGTAAGTATTGCAGTAGATTTATTTAAATTATTTTTACTCTTAATATATCCTCTATGATATCATTATATGGTTTGACTGAAAAATTTTAAATAGGTCTACATTTTAAAATTTAGATATTGAAAAATAGACATGTAGAGAAAAAAAATTTGCTAGGAATTCTGCTTTCAAAAATTTGCTTTTATCATTTCCTGCGTTTATAATTTTTTTTTTTTTTTTTTAAAGTTTCGAAAGAAGTATTATGGTATAGATTTAAAGTAATAATCTTTAATTCAAAGTAGTTTCCAATCAACACATTATGAAATTATAAAGTGTGTGTTAAATTTAAAATAAGGTTAATATCTTATGAAACAAAGTTAATTTGTAAATCTTGCTGAAAAAATTTTGATTTATTTTAAAATTTACTTAGATTTATGCTTAGTGAAATAGTTCTATCAGAGATACTAGATATCAGTTGATATAAGAAATTAAAATGTGTTGTAACTAAATCAATTCTGACTGAGGGGGGAAAAAGAAACATTTTTTTTTCTGGCTGTTCAATTTTAAAACTTGTTTGTCATATGGAAAAGTTACAGTTTTTAACTCTTTTTATCTTTAGCCTGTAGTACATACATAATATAATGTAAATACATATAATGTTATTTTTGTGAATTTGTGGAAATTGAATTTAGACTGAGTCTGTGATCTGACATAAAGCAATAAATCATCCTTTTTCATATAGTATTGTGCTATATAATGATTTTACAGGATAAGTTATTGCTCTATTATAATAGTTGGCCGTAACATGCTGTTAAATCTAGAAATCTGAATGTTTGTAAAATGTCATTTAATGTATTCTTGTTCTAGTTAGCATCTGCAATTCGAAATGGTATGTGAAAAATAATACTCTATTGTGATGTATACTCTTTTAAATTTTTTTTAGAACAATGAGTACATCCAATCTGTTGCTCGTTGCTTGCAAATGATGCTCAGAATTGATGAATATCGCCTTGCCTTTGTTGCTGTTGATGGAATATCCAAGTAAGAGTTCATTATTTTTTTTAAAATTTTATTTTTGTATACTACTAATATATTGTTTGATTTATTTTCAATATTATGTTGTAGGTCTTATGTGCTTAGCATTATTTTACATTCTTTGCTGTTATGTTTTGTCCTAAGTTGACATTTGACTAAGTTTTACAATAAATTATTCATTAAAATTATGTTTAATGAACCTTTTACTAAAATTATTTTGAAACAATTAATATTAACTGAGTTAAATTCTTCATCATAGAACCAAAATTTTAGTGTGCCCTTTGTGTGCCATTATATGCGTTTTATTGGTGATATTTAGCTTTATTTAGAAATTTGGTATTTGAAATTTGTAAAATATGCTTGTTTAGAAAGCTTAGCGATTGTTACACATGTTGAAAAGAAAAGGGAGAAATTTAAAAATTGTTTAAATTATTTTCAGGAAAAAAATTTTCTTGGTCTGAAGATTAAGCTGAATCTGTTTTTTAATACCATATTTAATGTTAATAACAATTATTTTTATAAAGGATACAAAAAAATTTTGTATAACACTGTAAGGTAGTAAGTGGTCATAATGCATTGAAATCATTATTCAGCTATTTTATAAAGATTTTGCATTTAATAAATTGTGCATTTTTTGTATCTGTAATCTATTTCATAAAATAGTAACTGAATGTAACTGAATAAGCTGTGATTTTTATATTTCTGTACTATAGAAAAATGTCTTTTGTTAGGCTTGTCACAGTATTAGCTGGAAAAGGAAACTATCAAATTCAATATCAGCTTATATTTTGTATTTGGGTGATGACTTTCAATGTTACATTAGCTGAAAAGATGAACAAGTAAAATATATTTCTCATAATGTTTTTTTTATTTTTTATGTTTGATTGATGCTTTACAATTTACAACTAATATATTTATTTTTAAAAATATATATTGCACTTATTAAATACAGTATGCTTTTGCAGTACATTATTGAAAATATTGGTTAATTCGAACATTTATCAATTTCCTTCTTAAATTCATTGGTGAGATTTTATTTTTTAATTTAGATTTTTTTTGCTAGTTTTGTTTTTTCTAGATTTGATGCTGGTGGTTTATTATAGGCATATGTTTTTTAAATCCGGTTGTAGGAAATTGTTTTTAATAACGTAACATGAATAAGGACTATCTGGCAGTCAAAAGTTGAGCTCTCTGTGAGGTTGCTTCAAATAGGCCTGGTGGCTCATATAATGATTGCCAGATATACTCATGAGAATAAAAAGAAAAGAGCTGTATGAGTGGCAAAGGGTAGGTTACAGTAAAATGCATTGTTATTATTGTTAACTGCATTCCTTAGCTTTCCTTTGGCAACATTTTTCTTGTGAATTATTTCAATTTTGTTGCAGTTCTTATTGTTCACATTCGATACTTTACTTGAGAGCTTAATAGCAGAAATCCTCCTGCAGGGCAGCAAGTACTGCAGGTTAACAGTGCATCCACAAATTATGTTTCATTTCAGATTTTTTAAAAAAAAAAAACATGTCTGAAATTCTATTGAGAGGAGAAACTGAAGTATCATTTTGAATTCGTAAACTTACTAAATTATTGTTTGTTTTAGGTGCTTAATAAAATTTGTTTCCCAATATGCAAATATATAAGCAAAAGAAAAATGATGACTCTCAAGTATTCCTAGTAATGTGCTTTAAGTAACTAGAATTTAAAAAAAATAAGAATTTTGAAATACAAGAGAAATTTTAAAAAAATTATTTATTTCCGAAAACTCTAGTTGCCTGTTTATGAACTGTATAGGGACCTATTCTATATTTTAATGATTCAACTACTCTATTTATTTAAAAGGTTATAAATTATTTAATTAAATTAAACTTCTGAATTTGTGCTGATTTTGCTGTATACATGTTATATTCAGCCAAAATTTTACAATAATGTGTCTGTTTGACTGTGTTATGGGCAGAGACAAATTTGAGTTTATTAATGATTGTGTTGCAAATTAAATTCTGCTACCAGGCCTGAGAGAAGTAATTTTATTATTATATAAAAAATCCAGGGGAAAAGAAACGATAAATTTTTTTTTAAAATTCCGGAAAATAAAAGATATAATCTTTTCATCAGCCCATACGATTATATCCGCAAAGAAAAATTTATCTTTTTTTTTCCGGATTTTTCTTTATTATTTTTTTTATTCCCCCCCCTGTTTCTTATTTTTTATTTTTCTCCCTTTTTTCATATGTCTGTAATTTTCCTTTGTTTTATCTTCATTTTGAACTTATCTAATGAGTTCTATTTACTTGCAGCTTATGTGCAATAAATGAAACTTATTATTTTTCTTAATTTTCTTCGTGNTATATATAGCTTTGACATGCTTAAAAAACCTCAAGTAGACATTATTTGCTGTGAAGATATGCAGCAGCATATTATAAGTTGTAATTTGCCCACAAAAATTTAAAATACTAAAATGAACCAGTCCTTAATAATATATATATTTCCGGATCATTCCAGTCAGTACCCATGTCTTCTTTTTTATTACATTGCTATTCTTCAATATAAAAATGTAAAAGAAAGTAGAATTTCTGATTTATTTCTGAATGTGTGCAATATTGTGTTTATGTGTTGCATAAAAAATGAAGTCTCAATATTTTTTGAAATTAGTCTAATTTTGAATATATATTGCAAAAAAGTATACAAATCTGCTGAACTGTAGACTAAATTTCTGTTTTTTTAATAAACGAGAAAACTAAGGACATCTTTCCAAGTAAAAAATTTAAATTAATGTTAAAAATTCTAAAAATTATTAAACAGCAGCAATCGCCATATCAATACATGCAATGACAACACATGCATACTTTTTGCTCTTGAACATCTGCTTTAAGGTTACCTAAAGTCTCATCTATTTGCTGAAAAGTAGTGTAAATTAAGTAGTAATACTTCGTATTGTGTTTCTATATTATTTTGAAGTCCCTTCTACTTGATAAAAGTAGTGCAAATGTTAAAAGTAATTTTTTTCTGGTTTTAGTTTGCTTTTATTGTATTTTTCATTTAATTGTTTTATATCTTCAATGGCATTGAAAATTGAAATTTATGAAAAAATGCTTATTCCCTGTCTTTTACTATGTTAAAATTGATGCAATTAAAAACTTAGTCTCCTAAACAGCCTTTACTTTAAAAATTTTCTATGTTTTGATGATTTTAATTATGTTAGTGTCTTTATATCAGTAATAAATTGTTTTGTTCTTCTTTCTTTAGATTCAATGTAATTCCAATACTATCAGACATCTTAAGTGAATGTCCCAAGGAAAAAGTTACAAGAATAATATTGGCGACTTTGAGAGTAAGGGTTTTTATTTAAATATTGAAAAAAATTTCATAATAACATAATGTTTGTTTGTTAAAGTAATTTTATAATTGTGTGCAAAAGAAATATTCATGCAATTAATTCCAGTTATAAACTGAAATGAGCAAAAAGTAAAAATGACATTAAGGACACCAAACTTTACACCATTTTTCTAGTTAAACAAGGTGTTTTAAAAAATGTATCCCAAACTGTTACATTAAGATTAATTTCATAATATCAAGGCATGAATTTAATAAGCTGTGCCATATATCTACAACCAAATTAGCTGTGGTTATGATATTTAAAGTTTTTATAATTCAAAATTTTATTTGAATGTTTTAATTTCATTATACTCATTCAAAATACTTTAATAAGTTAAGCTATAAGTCTATAATCTTATTAATTTTGAATATGATGATCTTCAAATTGTTGTAGTATATAATTCAATCTGAAATATTTTCATTATCTTAATTATAATATTGATTTATATTTATAATATTGATTTATATTGATTATAATATTTCTTTATTTCATGATCTTTTAATATTATAACTCTTGACTTCATTTAAAATTAATTCACAATCATTGCTGTTTAGTTTTGTAAAATATGCTATATTTAGCTTTATTTGTCCAGGTGGTAAATAATTTTTGTTATATGACCAAGTCTCAAGCAGAATAAATCCACATATATATATATATTCTTATTATTTATATCATAGCTTGCTTCATTAATTTAAGTTTAGAATTTTTCTGGATTATAAGTACTATATTTAAAGGTAGACTTTCTGCTTAAAATAAGATTATTTTAGCTTTCTTCAAATTTTGATGAAAATCACCAAGGTGACTAATAAAGCAACAACAACAACAAAAAATAATGAATTAATAAATAAAGTAGTAATAAAAAAAACATCCCCAAATGAAGAGGGAGGAAAATTAATTGAAAAATTATTTACCCCAATGGCTGTGTCATAAAAAAAGAATCTATAAAGTTTATAATAATGCTATCATTTTATAGTAACATGTTGAAGGGTGTAAGTTTGCCCATAGCATTTAATTTTGATAATATTTATTTTTTGTTAATAATAATGCTCTGCATTTACTTGATCTATGCTGAATACTTTCTTGTTAATACTTTGTTAATATTTCATGTGAACTTCTGATCAAAGAATGAAACAGATTAACACAAATTCAGAAAAAGACAAAATAAGTAAATAACATTTAAAATTATAAATCAAAATAGCAAAGGAGCTAAAACCAAATTCGTTTTGTTTTAATTTAAAAAGTCAGAAATACATAGAATATTTTAAGATAGGGGAGAGGGGGGCACATGTGAACATGGTATGTTTTACCAATATGATTTGAAATAAAAAATCTTGAAAAATTTTCAATTGATGGCAGTACTAGTCCTACCTCTCTGCAAAACTTTCAGAACAATGAGACATTTAGTTGTTCCATTCTGACAATTTCTTTGTATGAGCTGGTGTTGTATATATTATTATCACTCGCTTCTTCAAGTGAAAACATAGTATAAATCAACAAATAAACTAAAATTAACTATTGCAGACCATTGTCTGAACATTCAGTTAAGTTTATGACAATTATTCTTTTTTTTTTTACTCAATTAAAATTTCCTTATTTTTCAAATTAGCTTTAAGAAGGATGATGGGGCACTTGTGAACAAAATATCTGGGGCAGATATGAACAGTTCACATGTGCCCCTACATAGTATTAAGATTATTATCCTCATGATATTTTAAGTTTAAAAAATATGTATGCATTTAAAATTATTATTATTTAATTTTCCATAATTAATTTATTAGTTTTTTAAAAAATTTTTTTTATTTTTATTAAATGGTTGATTGCGCATTCTAACTGATACACTTGATAAAGCTATAAATGAAAAGATAGAGAAAATGAAAAAAAAGCATAAAAGAGTATTAGGGAAGAAAGAAAAAGGCCCATTACAACTCCTGAGGAACATGAAGTTGCGAAAAACCCAACAGCGGAAAAATTATTGTACAGCTGAAAAATTATTTTCTTATTGACAGTACTGTTGTACAATTTAAATTCACATAGTAAGCTACAACCCCTTCAGTATAATGCGTATCTCTATCTGTTATATTGAAGATTTTTTTCTTTGAAATATGATGATTGCTTTGTGTTTTTAATCTTGTTCAGATGTGCCCCCCAATAGGGGCACATGTGAACAATTGAAGTCATTTTTCTAAAATATCATAAAGTAAAGAAATATTTTATTGAAAAATCTCGAAAAATTCCATAAGACAAAGAAAAGACTATTTAAACGTATGGACTTCTTTACTGTGAGAAATGGATGATATTTTTTGAAAACTGAAGAAATAAAAAAAATTGTTAACATGTGCCCCCCTCTCCCCTACTTAAAAAGCGTTAATCTAGAGACAATGTTGTTTATCATTTTTCTCTACGGATTAAAAATAGCCACATTAATAATTTTTAATAAATATGCAATTAAAAACAAGATGTTCAGGTGTGTTACAGTTTCATTTTGGCATGTATTTCATATGCTAACATGCCCATCAAGATATGTAAACATTTTGAGACTTTTCAAGCCTAGTATTTTCCTGAGAAAAAAAGAAACATCAATGAAATGATCTTTCTATCTTTAAAAACATTTTCCGGATTTGTAGTAGCTTTGTTAATTAAAATCACTAAATTCGAACAATTTTTTAAGGATCAATTGCTGTTCTTCTTTAATATCCAATTTAATTTATATTTCTAGAATTTAATTGAAAAACCTGAAGAGAGTAGCATTAGCCGAGACCATGCAATTGCTATGGTTCAATGCAAAGTTTTAAAACAGCTTGATATACTACAAAGTAGAAGATTTGATGACCCAGATGTAAATGAAGATCTCGAATTCTTAAATGAAAAGCTCCAGGCTAGTGTACAAGACCTTAGGTAATTTAAAAAAAATTTATTTTAATCTTTACTTGAATTTGAGAGTTTTTATATTTCCATGTTCAAATTAATAATTATGTCTTTATTGTTTATTCTTCAAACACTTTTTGCATTTTGTCAATTTGTTTGTAATCTTTGTTAATATATTTCTATAATCATTTTTGAAGGAATTAAAATTTTCATGTGAATTTCATAAACTGTATTGCACGTAAAAGGTGATTTTCTTTTAAAATTTTATGAATAAAAAGTTGAGTGTGGTTTTGCAATTTTTTTTTTCTTATGATGTATGGTGAAATTGTAATTTATTATTTCAATAGTTAACAAAAAATTTAAGTTATAAAAATAACTATAGTTTGGAAAATCATCTTAAGATGATAATGTTAATAGTAGGATTAATAGAACAAAAATCTTTTTTTCTTTCTTTTTTTTTCCACTCTCTCTCTCTCTCTCTCTCTATTTTTACTTTACCCTAACTTAACTCAGAAAAAATTTTATTACAGTGAAATGGAATATTTAATTGCTAGTTGCATTTAAAATAGATATTTTCCAGCTGACCTTAGCCATTGTTTACCTCACTGTTATTTGGTATATTTTCAGTGCAAGTTTAATTGGCTGTGTTTTTTGAGCATGGTAAATCAATTTAGTTCTTTTTACATTCAAAAAAATTAGAAATTGGAAAAAAATTTTTTAAAGAAATATTCTTTGTTACAAATATGCCCCATTTTTAAATGTGTTCAATTTTAGGCATCAAAATAAATAATAAATAGATAGATAAACAAAAAGGGAAAACAAAGTAGAAACTTAACTAAATATATAAAAATTCTTAAGTGTCACACTTAGACACTTAGAACACTGAAGTCGAGCATCGTTGGTTGCATTCAGTGATTGGATAGATGACCACTGTGATCATCTTGCACAGGAACCAAGGGTGTGCAGCATCAGTCTTCTGTAAAATGTTCGACTTTGCCTGCAGGCTATCAAAATTGTAATGGCATGTCTTTTGGATCATCCTCAAGAATGTTTCCCAGACCGTCGTCAGTAGCCCATTGTGCAACTCCAGTGCAACGTAAATAAACTACTGCTACTAAAATTTCTTGATTATTTAAGTTTTTTGTTGTAATCATTAGTTAGTACTTTAAAAGGGATCATTCATTAAATATGTTTGATAATTTATTTTTTGATAAACTACAATTATATTTTCTTAAACTGACATGCTGTAATTGACATTTATAAAAAAAATATATGTTATGTTGTAGCTAAATAAGTTATATTGTAGCTAAAAAATATGTTATATTGTAGCTAAATATTATATTGTAGCTAAAAAAATGTATATATATTATNTATATATATATTGTAGCTCTTTTGATGAATATTCTACTGAAGTCAAATCTGGTCGATTAGAATGGAGTCCAGTCCATAATTCTGAAAAGTTCTGGAGAGAAAATACACCTCGATTGAATGAGAAGAATTATGAATTACTGAAGTATATTACATTTTTAAATTTTACCCCTATGTCCAAATATTTTTTATTTGTTGAATTAAATTTCTTTTCTAAACTAAACCTAGTGATATATTTTTAACATTTATATTAAAATTTATGCAGAATTATATGTAATCTCACGTATGTTTTGTTATAATCAACGTTATTTGTTTTCATTTACTCTTTACTTTATTCTTTAGTAATAATTGTGGCTTATTATTACAGAGAAAATTATAACATTAAAAGCAGAGAAACAAACTAATGCAATTTTCATGTAGTTCATATTATTCTTTCTCATGATACGATAAAGCTTAAAATATTTTCTTATAAAAAAATAAAAAAAAGTTTTACAGTTCATATAATTTTTTTTAATTGCAAAAGGGAAATGATAAGTTTTTGAAAATAATTATATTTGAAAGTTAAGAATCCAACTACATTGAAAAAAGGTGTTGCTTGTCTGAACTTAAAGTATGACCTGCATAAATTAATTAGCATGTTTAAGATTAGGTACTTGAACCATTACGATTGCATCTTAGTATATTATGTCAAAGGTTATGCATGGTGCATAGCCTTTTTGAAAAGTGCCTAAAGGTGCTTATTTTCGATTTTCGTGTTTAAAAGCCCTCAAAGGTGTTTTTTATGGAGTGTTTTAAAATGTGCTTAATTTTCCCTTTTTGAAAAGAATTTTTTCTTCTTTACTATGTCGATTTTCATTGCATATTATGCAAAAGCGTGGTTTTCACATTGTTCTATTCGATCACAATCAACCGTCGGTCAGTAACATATGATAGTGCCAATTATGTTTTATATATGATGAAATACTTGGGAGTCTGCATGTGCATCTACTGAACTGGATTTGGTGAGATTCTTGCACTATCATGTTTCGACTCTGCCGCATTTTACAAGATATTCTCAATTCCAGGTTTCATTTTCCACCCTCTGAAATCGAACCAAAAATCTCTCGATCTTTTTATGGCAGCTAATATAATCAAGAAAAGACTTCGTCAGAAACTAGTTATTTTATCGGGATTATGTAAAGTCTTTGAAAAATATTTTGCTTTTTGTCCGAAACTAGTTATTTTATCGGGATTATGTAAAGTCTTTGAAAAATATTTTGCTTTTTGTTAATGTATATAGCTCTTAAAATTTTTTTGAGTGCTTAAAAAGTACTTTAAAGGTGCTTATTTTTTGTTGAGAGATTTGGCTACACACCCTGTTATTGATCTGATTTTGTCTTGTAAGTTTAGGATTTTTCAATTATGTTTTATTATTTTCTTGATAAAGATTTTTTTCAACTTGTATTAATTTATTTTTTAACTAGAATTCTAATCTACCTCCTTCAATCAAGTAAGGATCCTCTTGTGTTAAGCGTTGCAGCTCATGATATTGGGGAATATGTGAGACACTATCCACGAGGAAAACAGTAAGTTCACCGTTTCAATTTTAAGCAGTATGCTTTTAATTTTTCAATAATTATTATGATCCATGGCATCAAATTTAATATTTATTAAACAAGAGGTATACAACATACAACCTAAGATCTGTGAGTCAAAACAAGTCTCAAAGCCTTTTAACTTTCCCCCAGAATTGTCTTGAATGTATGAATAAATGTCTTGAATGAATGTCCGAATGAATGTCTTGAATAAAAAAAAAAGGTAGAATTTATATTTTCAGGTATGCTCGATTTCAGTAAGTTATTGATTAAACTTGCAGCCTTTTTCAAAGTATGTGACCATTTGTTACAAAAGTTCTGTTTATGCAATGGTATCAGTGTTTGCAAATGAAATATAGTTACTTAAGAATTTGCACAAATATTGAAAATCAATAAGATAAATAAACGAAATAACAATTTTGAAATTCCAACAACAATTCATTCTAATTTGATAACATTTATCTATTACTCTGTTAGACGTAAATTCTGTTTCCTGAATAACAGTGAGAGTTAACTTTCAGGATGAATGCAAATTTAAGTTACCCTTTTTCTTTGTATTCCTATATATTTTCTATAATTTGTTTTATAATTTGATAAGTATGTTTGTCAAATTTATATTTTTATTGGCGGCACCAAAGCAAAAGATAAATTAGACATTTGTAACTCATTCATATTACTTTCAAACAAAATCTAAATCTTACTTGCATTCTTGTTTTGCAGATTTATGTTAATGTTAAAGATTAATTATACATTTATCACTCATTCATGTTACTTTCAAACAAAATCTAACTATTCCCTGCATTCTTGTAAAATTGGTAACGTCTCCCTAATAATATGAAGTTTATTTTACTTTTATTGATGTAAAGTAAAATATAAATTTCTTCTAAATTATTACAAAAATGCATAAATGATAATTTAAATTTTTTTTATAATTTAATAAAATAAATATTTTTTTATAAATATTTTTAGCATTATTGAAGGTCTTGGTGGTAAACAGGAAGTAATGCACCTTTTATCACACGATGACCCGAATGTCCGATATCAAGCACTTTTATGTGTTCAAAAACTTATGGTTCACAATTGGTAAGCATGTTTGGAATCATCATAAAGTTTCAAAAGTCTATCTAAAATCTCTAATTGTGTGTTTATAATTTTAAAAAATTAATACATTTTTCACTTCTTAAATGCTTTATGTGTTTTTCCTTTTGTTTAATATGTTTTGCTCCAGTGTTGAATTATAAACAGATTTTATACCAGTGCAGATTTTTAAGCTAAGATTTTGCTTCAGCTGCTAAATTTGAGCACAGATTTTACTTCACCTACAAATATTTAATACGTATTTTGCGCCAGCATACAATTTTAAATTTTTAATAGATTAAGTTTCTAAAAAATTGCTGTTTGCTTTATATTGGTACAAAGGTCTTTTGCATAGCTTATACCCTGCCTTTTAGTTATTTTTTTTGTACTGTGTTGTAGCTTTTTTTGTAGATTTATACGTAGTTTTCTTTCTAATGTATTTGTTATATGTATACTAGAGCTCACTAAAATCTCAAGTTTTTTATTATACCTAATTTCAGAATTTTTTTTTGTGAGAATAAGTGTTAATGAACTGATTAAAAAATGAGCTGTACTTGAAATTATTTTTCATTGTTCACATACAATTATATATTATTAGTCGTAAACTCAGAATAGGTCGGCTATTCACCGCCAGTGACAAAGTAAAATATATTTATTTTAAAAAAATACATTAGAAGTTAAACGCTTCTTGAAATTAAACTTCTGTGAAATGATGTGTTTAAAATCTGAAACAAAAAAGCATTATTATTTCAAGAAATTTGTCAAAGAAATTTGCATCAAAGAAATTTGTTAAGAAGATTCTTTTTATTTTGTGTTAGTTTCTTTCAGTCAGTGGCCATAGGTTATCATCCCTCCCTTAAAGGGTTAAAGAAGTTATGCATTTGATCAGAATTTACTATATAGATCAGGGGTTTCTGATTAAGGGGAGGATGAAATTAGTTTAACATTTAAAGAAGAATTTACATTATGCTATCTTGAACTCCATAATGACGAAGTAAGTTTAGATCTAAACCCATGTAGTTTTGATTGAAATTTTTTTTAATATTTTGCTAGGTGAGATTCTTTGGCTGCTGAAAAATGATCCCTGAGCAAAAGATATGTTTTATTTTAATTTTAAAACTGTCGTTGAATAGCCAACCCAATTTTTTTGACTTACGACTACTAATGTTCAGCTCCCTAGCCTTGTAATTTTGAACTCAATCCAGAAGGCAAGGGAGCTAGCTCCTGGATTAAAAGCATTAGAAGAAATTTGCCTATGTGGAAGACGTTTTGATGAAACTATCCCACATTTGCGTTGCACGGTGAGGAAAACCTCCCACCGTTATCCTAACGGCAAGGGAACTCTAACCCGTGATTCGTCTACCACTGATGATATTTTTACTGCAGCACTGTGGTCAGTGCGACCCGGGTGCGGAATTCATATCAACCAGCCGTCGCTGGTATTCGAACCCAGTTCACCTCATTTTAAGCCACCACGGCTCAAAATATATATTTAAGGGGAGATCAGTCTCAGAATTTCGTTTTAATTTTAATCTTAACTGTATAATTTTTTTCATGAATGCCATTAAAAGTTATGAGAGCATTGTTTTAAGTTATTGTCAACTTATCTTCAGAAATAGGTTTTCTCAATTAGGTTATAAATGAAAATGATTTAAAGAAATAGGTCGAAAAATAGAGGTCACTAAAAATACATTGGTTTTCTGTACTAGTATTTTCATTACGGTCTCAGAATTTCTTCTTTATTTTGGTCTTAATTGTATTATATTTTTTCACAAATTATCAGAGCATGGTTTGGCATTTTTGTCAACTTACTTTTGCAAATAGGGCTTCTCAATTAGGTAACAAATGGTTAAGGTTAATGGTACTTCTATTTATCATGGTGTGTAGCATTTTCATAAAGTGCTTAAAGGTGCTTCTTTTCGTTTTTTAGATGCTGTTAAAGGTGCTTTTTTCAGTGGAGTTTTTTTAAAAATGCTTAATATTCCCTTTTCAAAAATGAGATTTGTTTTTCTTTATCATGTCGGTTTTCGCCAAGTATTATGCCGAAGCCTGGTTTTTACATTGTTCTATTCACCGTTTTCACAATCCATTTTGACGTACCGTCGGTCCAGAGCTTATGACAGCCCCAATCATTTTACTTGTTTGATGAAATATTTGCAAATCCGCATGTGCCTCTACTGAGCTTAGTTTGGTGAGATTCTTGTACTCTTATGTGCAACTCTGCTAGATTTTGCATGATATTCTCAATGTCAGTCTTCATTTTCCCCCCTCTGAAATTGAACCGAGTCTTTTTATGGTACCTAGTATAATCAAGAAAAAAGTTCTTTGTCAGAAACTTATTTTATCATGATCATGTAAAGTGTATGAAAATTACTTTGCATTTTATTAATGCATATAGAGCTTAAATTTTTTTTTAATGCTTAAAAAGTACTAAAAAGGTGCTTATTTTTTGTTGAAAAATTTGGCTACGGCCCTGACTTATTGATTTATTTCTATTTCTTGTGTTTAAATTAGTAGTTTGTTAAAATTAATGGAAAAAACTATGAACGCATTGGTTTATTGAAGAACATGGTATCAAAAAATTAAAAACTGAAAAAATATTGTGTAACTAACTATGTTTTATGTTTTTTAAAGGATGGAATTAACTTCTAGCGATAGTGAAAAGATTGAGAAAAACTGCTATACATTTTATAAATGAGCTCTAGTGTATTGCTTTATTTCACTCTTAATTAGTTACTGAAATGTACTTGTAGTTGGCTTTAATTTTTTACCCTTTCTATGCTTATTTCTTCTACCACCCAATTATTGTTTTGCATGTTACCTGCTTGTGTGAATTCTATTATCTTTAGCCTATGTATTCATATTTTTTACCCTATAGGAATAGTTTATGCTTAAAGTGTAGTGGCGTTAACATAAAATCATCAAACAGCGCTTCAAAATTCACTCTAGGGAAACAATGTATGTGTAAATCAGATTTTAGCAGTAGCTAGTACACTATTAGAATATGTGGATCTAAATGCTTAAGGTAGGTCAAGTTATTTTTGTTTCACTGCACTGGGCTTTATGTTCTTGATGAGCTTTGTGTCTATCTGCTTTTCTTCTTAAGTTTCAAAATTATTATAATATTATTTTTGTTATAATAGTGGCTAATATAATTTAATTAATTATCCCTATTAATTTAATTAATTAAATTATTATTATTAGCGTAGTTTAATTAATAATAATTTAATATAATTTTGTTATAATATTTTGTTATAATTATTCAAGTGTGTAGAAAAAGTATTAAGTGTGATCGATTAAATTGTGTGAATGTTACGTAAGTATTTAAAGCAAAGCATTACATGAAAATTACCACTGGAGGTTTTTTCATGTAATGCTTTGCTTTAAATACTTACGCTAGATCGCTAAATTTTGCAGTTGCCATTATTTTAAGATAATTTCATTTTAGAAATTTTGCTGAAATTATATGATGCTTTATTTTGGTATGTAACTGCCATGAATTTGTGCCCATTTCATTCTAGTAATTTAGCTTCAATTATAATGCTTTGTTTTATCAAAATAAAAATATAATAGAAAAAGGATAAATAATGTTAAAAAGAAAATTGAAGTGTTGAAGAAAAAAATGTTTAAACTTTTATATGTACCTACTTTTTAAAGAAGTAAAAATTAGAAATTAAATATAGCTACAATGTTCTTGACTTTTTAACCAGTGTTTTGCAGCATTAATGTAGAAATGAACAAATATTCAAAACAGAAAAACTGTGATCTTAATTAATATGATAATAGCTATAACTATTAATATTATATTACAATAGCCAATTATTATCTTTAAAATGATTTTTTTAATATTTTTTCAAAAATGTTGATGTAAATTGTATATAATGATGTTTTAGTATTACCAGTAATAGAAATATAATGTGTGTTCTTATATAATGTTTTTTCAAAAATTAATGTATAGAAATAGAAAATTTTAATTTTCTCAATTGAAAACAATTTCTTCTCTTTTAAAAATAGTACGAAAAAGTATTGTGAAGGATTACTAGATCAAGCAATATCTGAAAATAAAAGCTCTAGTAATATTTTTTGTCTGCCCTGAGCTCTGTTTTGATAAAATATGATATCGATTACGTCATAATGCATTCACTTATTTACAACTAGTTGTGTCAGGTTCCAGCTGGTTTGCCATCATGAACTTACTGCACTGCGATTTCATATTGATCCTAATACCTTTGGCAATATTTCTATGAATTTATGGTATTACATATTTGACAGGAATCACAGTTGTGTAAGAAAAATGTTTCAACATTTGGAAGCAGTGAAAATAAAAATGACAACACCGTCAGTTGGTCAAATCTCCATAACTCAAAAAGTTTATGATATTGTTACATAAACAAGAACTTTTTCATATCAACCTTATAATGTACATTGAGAATTTATTTTAAACTCTTTGTATGTATTTTACTGCATTTATACAATTTTATGTATATTCAGGGTGCATAGCGGTTTTAAAAGCGGTTTCAGGGTGCATAGCGGTTTCTTTTATTCAGGGTTTGTAAAAACAGTTTAATTTTCTCTCTTTTAAAAAAAGAGACTTTTTCTTTGCTGTATCGATTGCAGTTCTAAATTACGAAAAAATGCATGATTTTCACAATTTTCTCCGCAATATTTATCAGAAACTAGATCTCGTATCGTGATTATATAAAGGTTTCGAAAATGTTTTTGAATTTTCTTGATTTTATGTTTCTAAATTAAGAACTTTAAACGATAGAAAAAAATTATTTTTATTACTGCACAGATCCTAATTATGATTCTTTTTTGTTTTGTTTTGAAAGGTGATTAAAAATATTTTTTGAGTGCTTAAGAAGTGCTTATTTTTTATTGTTTTTCAATACGCAGTCTGATATTTGTAATCACTAGAGCCCGGATTTTGATGACCTGAAAAATCTCAATTAATGCCCTTAAAAAGTGTAAAAAATGCCCTTATGAACTGCAAAATATGCCCTTAAAAGTGCAAAAAATGCCCTTGAAATGCGAAAATTGCGCTAAAAATGCCTTATGACATGACTTAAATAGAAGTAAAAATATTGAACTAAAACAATGTTTTACTCTTCAAAATTATTATGAGTCGTTTCAAAAAATATAAAGCAATGCAATACTTGTTCTACGTTCATTAAAGTTTGACAAATATGTTTTATATCCAAAAATAACAAAAAAAAGGAAAATATATTGACTCCAAAACATTTTCATTTTGTATAGAAACTTAAATGAATATAACAACTTCCATCTCATAATATTACTAAATATCAGAATTACAGTGGATTATTAAATTTTTTTTTAATATTTTGAAATGTAAACGAGCGTCTCTTGTCTGAAAGCAAATTTTTATACCAGGAGAAGCTTCTTTCAACGTCTACTGATGTTATTGGTGCGTACTTGAAAAGGACGGTCACACTTACTGACAATTCTTCTTCAATTTGAAAAGATGTTGCTTCACCTGTTAATATCCTAGAAATTTTCTTCATTGTTTGGAAGCCAGTGTAATAATAAAAAATTATAAAAAATAATAAAAATTAGAAAAATTTAACAAAAAATTTAAAAAATGCTTTAAAATGCAAAATACGCCCCAAAATTTTAAAGAAAATGCCCTATAAATCTCAAAAAATGCTCTAAAGGACAAAAAATGTCCAAAAATGCAAAAAAATGCAAATGTCATCAAAATCCGGGCCTTAGTAATCACTATCTTGAACTCTTCTTATATAAATATTCAAACAACAGAATTATCTTGTATTAATGTCAATGTTGATTTATAATTATTTTTTAATAATTTTTAGGGAGTACTTAGGCCGACAACTGGAGAAACCTGAGAGTCAGTCTATACCTGCAAAGGGATAAAGTTTAAAGTTTAACGGAAACACTTAAGCTTTCATATGGTGACTTTCCTCATATAAAAGAAACAACTATGTCATATGTAGTCAAGATTCAGAAAGTGATTGTTTTATGGACTTTAAATGTTTATTCTCTGTGAAGGTGGTGAGTAATTGGCTGTAAGTTACATTCCAAAGCTAATTAGTATGATTGTAAGGCTGTTGCTAACTTTTTGGTGTGAAAATATTTATTTATCATTTTGTTCCTATTGTTAATAAATGTATTATTTATAAGGAAAATTAATTATTGATGTTCAGAAATTTGTTATGTGTGTTTCATCTGTTGTAATTATGTTTGAATCTTTTAAGTCTAATGTATTATCTTTTAAAATCATCAATATCTGTTTATTTTTTCAGTATAATTTTTTTTTTAAATTGTGAAAAAATAGAGTCCAATATTTTATTAATTAAATGTTTACATTTCAACAAAAATCTATTTATAAATTTTCCCCATATTGCACAAATGTTTAATAAAATGTTTTAATGAAATTATAATAATTTAAATCTAGTAATTTTGAATTTGGATAATTTATAATGTCTTATGAACAACAATTTGTTAACTGAATTGTTATTGGTAGGCTTCTTCTATTAATAGTGTACAATTTGTAAAAAAAGAAATGATCTTTTATTTTTGGCTGTTGTAGACATCTTTATTCAAGATAATAAAAATAAATTGGAAAATGTTCTCCTTGTCTGTTTTAATTAATTTTACAATTCATTTATGAAATCATATTCTATAGAAATGTAATATTTTGATGAAGTTCAGTAGTCTCATAAGCCCACTACAGCACCTGTAATTTGTCCATCCATCTGTTTATAATTTCAGAAAAAAAGAAAGAAATAGGGCTTTGTATATATAAATGTGGGTAATAGTTAAGGTTAGTATAGGATCAAGAAGAGAGTCCAACATTGGGTAGGGGGCTATTTTCTCTTATGTGCCATTTTTTCATCTTGAAGACTGAAATCAGTCTTGAGATAGGATTCAGTCCCCCATTTAATATGTATTCCCATTTTTTTAAAAAAAAAAAAAAAAAAAAAACTTTGGTTTTGGTCCTTCTCGCTCCTGTGAAAATGACGGGGTGAGGTTTCGCCCTCTATTTCTCGCTCCCGTGAAATTTCCGGGATGGATTGTTCATTAGTAACGCACCAATAAGAATAAAACTAATTAGTTTCTTTTGCCTGGAAAACATTTTATTTCTCATTTTACAAGCCAGATGGCAGTACCAGGATATTTTTAAGGTAATTGTGGATAGTTAGTTTATTTTAAACTAGATGTCAGCACTAATCAAATGCATGTATTTGGCAAAATAGGCACTTTTATGACTGTTTTCTTGAAAATTAACTGATTGTTAAGGGTTTAAAAAAAATAGTTCTCTAACAAAATATTTTTTAAATTTTTTCAGTTAAAATATATATCTAAATAACATAAAATCATAATGGTCTAACATCGTTTTCCATTGTTGTCGGCACATTTTTATTGGCCGGAAAATCAAGTGGTAGGATCCAGTTTTTCCCCATTCATTTCGATATTGTTTAGGTTGTCATCAGCATAAAATTAACAAAAGCTGTAAAGGTATTGTTTTCCTTTAAATATTTTTGTATCCCTAATTTAAAGTTATTTTCCAGTACTGCTATTATTAGTGAAAATTATAAATTATGCTTGTGAACTCATCAAATTTGTTTGAACAATATAATGTTATAAGAATATAAATGTTATTTTAAAAAATGATAATTAGAAAAATCACTTCTGTTCACCAAGAGATCTAAATGTTTATAATACTAATAGATGGGTAATATTTGAACATGGGAAGTAGAGGCGCGAACAGAATTCCTTTTAGTACATATATGTTAAGTGAATAATCTTAACTTTAGTAGAAAAACTGTTGTCTGCCAAGAAAAAACAATTATTGCGAAGCAATCGTCGGGGTTGGTGAGCGGTAGTGAACAGGGGACTTAGCCCCTTAGTATGTATAAAAAAATAGATTACTTTTGTTTTGAAAAATATTTTTATCTTTATACTGAGTGTTATTGACGGAACTTATGTAAATAAAATTGGAATTGTTAAATCAGAATCTGCTTGAGCTTAAATTGCTTTTCTCGATATTTGGAGATGCTTGGTTAAATTAAAATTATTTTTTTAAAAAATGAACTAGGGGAAAACATTAATGTTGCTGTGAAAAATAGAGGTATGAATGGCTCCAAGAAAAAGTCAGAAATTTAGCAATTAGTGTAAAGAGATATGCAAAGTTTACCTGTTATTTTTTATTTGCTTGCTGTTAAAAATAAGTTAATGAAGTAAAGAAGAAAAGCATTTTCGAAAAAATAATCAAGTCATAAATATAATAAATGGACTATTCTCATGCTAAGTGAGCTATAATTTTCTGTTTAATAACAGATTGTGTTAATTGGTCAAAATATAAATTCAGTTTTGAAATTTTTTTAGAGCGGCACCTATGCTTATGTGTTATGTGTTCATTCATTTAATCAATTCTCATTGAATGTGTTTGTATCTATAAACACAGAATTGATTACTTATAAGTACTGAAGTTCAAGTTTATGTTCAATTGTTTATAGCAGGAAAAATTTTGAAAATCCCATCCACCTACCCACAAAAAAATGGTCTTGAAAAATCAAATTGATGTTAGTTAAATGAATTTGTTTTTATTAATCAACCTCTATTCTAAAAATTATTTCGACTAAACATTATTATTAGAAGAAGAAAGAAATGGTCCTATGTAGGTTTGAAATGATTGCAAAATTAATTATTTGACTTATGATTTAAAATTTGAAAAGTTATTTAAATTATAACTTTTATATATGTATAAAAGACCTGATAGCTTGTTATAATGCTGACCAAATTTCAAAAAATTGGTCTTTTCATTGTTATTTCACTTCCATTTTAAATATTGTAAATTGGTGAAACTTTCCAGATGATTTGCATGTGCATTGTCTGAGGCGTGAAAACAGACTGTTAAGAGAAATTTCTATGAAAATTGGTAAGTGCTATAATTGCGTGACCCTCATAATCTCTTGATATCCTCTCAGCAGATCAGAATCCATGTATTAATGTTCTTCTCTCAGATAATATCAAGGAAGAAAATCTTTATATTAACTAGTTTTTTATTTACATGAGAATTTTTTATTTTTAATATTTGTAAAGAGATTATTTTTTGGTTGATAAACAAAGTTTTTAAAAGGTAATATATATAAGCATTTTTATTTAGTCTGGAATTGAACATCTCTAAAAATTTGAAATTATGTATGCTTTATTTTCACACGTTAGTGATGAGTAAAAACGTATCGTGCAGTACTTAAAATGTCATGTACCAAGCAAAGATGTGCAGTACTTCAAATGTCATGTTCCATGCAAAGATGTGCAGTACTTCAAATGGCATGTACCAAAGATGTGCAGTACTTCAAATGTCATGTTCCAAGCAAAGATGTCTAGTACTTCAAATATTATGTACCAACCAAAGATAGCTTCTGAAGTTATATCGCTAATTATTTTTTTCTTAGATGGAATTTTTCTGTAATTATTGTGGCTGCTTCTAAAACAAAATCATTAAAATTCAGAACTGCCAACTCTCAGGCTTTTGTCCTGATTCTCAGGCTTTTGTGTCCAATCTCAGAACCTGAGGCTATTTATGAAATGAATGAATTGGAGGTCACAGGCACACTTTGTATATAACCCCAGATCAGCAATTTTGTAGTTAGAGTGTGTTTAGTTCATTGTTTAGTCCTTTTTTGAATCTTTTTTTTAAAGGAAATTAAATCTTTGTTAAACCCAAAAACTAAGTATAGCACTGTTTTTGACAAAGCAGGTACAGGTGATTTCCCTTTTAAGAGTGTTATCTTAATTCATGTTCAAATAGCTAACTTAAGAATTTTTTAATTCTTTCGGTGGGATTGATGCAAAGTTAGCAGCAAGAAAAGTAATGCATGCAGTTGTTGATTAAAATTAATGCTAGTGGTACTAGCCAATTTTTACAGTGTGAAGGATTATTCTGCCACAAAACAAAAATTTAAACTTAATTCGGTTCTTTCTTGTCAAAAAAGGCTTAGACGAATTTGTTAATTGGGAAATCAAACAAAAAGTTCAAAAAAAAAAGTTATATAAATTTTTAAAAAAATTCTATATTAGTCACTAAATTTGAGAGTTAAAAGAATTATTTAATTAAATTTAATGGCTGGGTTAGCCTGCTTAACAGAGTGCTGGACTCGTATTCTTGAGAATGGGAGTTTGAAACCAGCCGGCCGAAGTCTCCCCGTGTGATAAATGGTGGCTGATGCACGTTAAATTTGTCGTGTCACAAAATCCTCCATGTTTCCATAACAAATTATAATTCTGCGGGTACTGAATTGGAGATTGATCGTTCTCTAGTTCAGGTCAAAATTACGATCTGTGGATGAATGAATGGTCTATAAACCAGTGTGAATGCGACAGAAGTCAAATTCTTGGCCATAGATGGCGCCACTGGAAAGCAAGAACAATCGCACCTATTGCCTTACTGGTCTTTGACAACAACAACAAATAAATTTAATTTTAGGTATGTGTGAATAATTTTTTGTTTTTTTTGTTTTACTTATTGTACTGCGAGCTATGTTGCGGTCACCGAAAGTCTCAGGATTTTGAATTTCTGAAGATTTCTTTAAAACATAATTGGGACAAAATTTTAAAAAAAATTGGATAGATTAAAATTAGACTTTTCGTCACAGACTAGAATCTTAGAATAAATTAAGTCTAATTAATTTGAAAAGATATTTCTTCAAATAAAATTTTTTTTCTTCCTGCAAACATGAACTATCAGGTAGCTAAAAAAATAATGACAGCTATTAAAAACTAGCTTGTAACTGCTAATTCTTTAAAACAAATTTAAGAAAATATTTGTTAGAAGTGTTCGTCTCGAGAATTGATAAATCTTAAAAGCAAAAGGTATAATCATAAGATATTACTTCTGTGAGTTCATATGCATCACATGTAATGTAGGAAATTAAACAAGAAATATACAACTTCGTATGAAAATACAATTTATTTCAGTACAATAAAAGCCACAGCTTATTTACATGTTTAAAATTTAGGAACAGTTGTCAAATATGTACATGACTCATGCTATTTTTTTTTCTTAGAGATTTTTCTAATAAATATGTGGAATGAAAACATGATCATTAAGATCCTTTTATGACATGAAAAGCATACTTTACCCAAATATTTGTTAATGAGTGAAATTACACATTCAAATCCAAATTAAAAAAAAAAAAAGAAAAATCAGAGCTGTGACTAATTGAGCTGAAAATTAATATAATGATCACAGCATCAGCGATAAAAAAAAATTATCACGATTTTTTTCGTCATAAAACACTAAAGTTTTACTTTAGTCTTCTAAAAAAGGTAATAAAACAAACATTGCTATTGCTCAGCTGCAAATGTTTATTTACAAGTTTGTGGTAAATGATGATTTATTTTGGCAGATTTATATCTAATTATGGCTATAACTATGAATGGTAAGTTATAACAAAATGTTTAAAATTAATGAAAAATACCCTCTAACTACTACTATGATAAGTACCAAATTTTAGCTGTAGATTTCAATGGAAAGGATGATGGTTAATTTTCACTATCATCCACTTCCATTTTTTTAGCCTAAGACAATTTTAGAGTGTATGATATATCGCCCTACAACCACATATTTAAGTGTAGGACATATCGGACAATTCCATTTTATGATAATGTCTCTGTCGTGTGTCTTGACTCAACACGTGCTCATTTCTTCTTGAAGGCGAAGTAATCACCAGTTGGATCTTCTATCCATGGATAGTTCTGTGGACATTCCATGCATGTGTGTAGGCGGATGGTTTCTCCTGGAAGCTCCCTAGTGGTCAAGGGACATGCGTTGGCGTGAGAGCAGAAGGCTTGACCTTTGACGTCGCACTTTTCTTTCCATGGTGCGAAATCTCGGATGGATGATAGCTCGGCAGGTGATTGCATCCATTGAAGAACTTGTGTCATGGTGACGAAGTAGACATCGTTCCTGCCTAAAATTTCGTCCATCCATTGGACGAGGGCATCTAAGTAATCTTGGTTGAGTCTCAACCATCCAGCATGGAAATAGAGACCTAAAATTATAAAGTTATGCGTTTACTATAATGTATAAATTATTAAGTACCAACCACTAATGTTCAACTCACTAGCCTTGTTATTTTAAACCCTATCCAGAAACAAGGGAACTCCTGGATCAAGTATTGGGAGAAATTCGCCTTATTGCTGGAATCCGAACCCGGTTCACCTCATTGGAAGGCGAATAATCTAGCCCCTTAGCCACCATGGCCCCGTGTCAGACTATCTAACAATATGGAAGGACTGAAGAGTATAGAATAGTTTCTTTTAAATGGCAGCTCTTGTATGTTTTTTTTCTTCTATTTGCTAAAAATTAATATAACAGCTTTTAAAATGAAAAAAAAAAAAATTTTTTTTTTTAAAAATCGTATGTTATTCCTCGTTCATTTAGTTTAATATTTTTATTTCTTTCGTACATTTTCTAATTAGTTTGTAAATGACATTGTCTCTAGCTTACATGAGATGAAGAATTAAAAATCTTGCTTTTTGCGAGCAAATTAAGATTGTTGTTGTTGTTCATTTACGTCGCACTAGAGCTGCACAATGGGCTATTTTGCGACGGTCTGGGAAACATCCCTGAGGATGATCCGAAGACATGCCATCACAATTTTGATCCTCTGCGAAGGGGATGGCACCCCCGCTTCGGTAGCCCGACGACCAGCAAATTAAGAAGAGTTCAATTATTGAGAGTTGAGTTGTATTTTAAATGGATTGGGAATAGCATGAAAATTTAATTACCTGGATTCAACAAATCCATTGAGGGGAAAAAGGGGAATCTTATATTTTTAAAGACCTAAATGCCATGATTACTCTATGACCATATTTGACTAAATTAAGTCATTATCATTCAGTAGAGTTCAATATATTACCCTCGAAATTTTCTATATTTTTCTTACCTAAAGGTGCTCTGTTGGTTTTGTAATGCCTTTCAAAGTTGTGGTTTAAGAAATTATAAAACTGTTCTCCAGAAATGATATTGCTACAACTGTCAACCATGGCACAGCCAGCGAGTTCTTCGTCAAAGTTTGGATCATCTCTTCGATCTAATTCATTCATTACCATTTCCCACACAGCATGAGATCTATAAAACAATGTATGTGTAAATATATATTTAATAAGCAGTTACACTTGAATTAGGTTTTTTTTTCTTTTTGGAGTTGTTGAATAAACGCACCTGGTTGGGCAGTTTTGTCCGTTACCATGGCATTTGTGAGGCATTCTGAAGTACAAAGTGTAAGGCCAGAGGGGAGGATTGCTAAGAGGTGCAGTAAGGGTTGAATCGTATAAGAATGCCTGTTCCTCCATCATTGAGAATTGACTGTTTCCTCCGACTCTTAAGTATGGTGAACGTACACCCACAATGGAATTATCTGTAATGTTTCCAAAACGTTCCAGTATAAGCCTAACTCCAGCCATTTCTTTTGCCCATGTGTCTAAGCTGGCGTCAGTCCAGTATTTTTCAATGTTTCTATGTCTGTGAAAAAGTAGAAATATATTCGTTAAATATGCATACTAGTATTTTTTAAGAAAGTTGAAACTAGTTAAATTTGTCCTTTAACAGATGGTGATGATGGAGCAATCATGACAACTAAACTTTACTAATCAGAAACTATGTTGAAAAATTTCCGATTTATTGGTACTTTTTTACTTAAGACAATGAAGGTACGAATTGCATGATATGTGTTTTTTTCCCTCTTTCAATATATTTGAAAAATAAATTTTTTTTTTGATGATATATAACTATTTTTTGTACACAATTCATGAAGAGACAATGACTTTTATTTGTAATTAAATGAACGATAACTTCTTCTTAATCAAATACACCTGTTTTCCTACTCAAAGATAAGTTTTTCAAGAATGACATTCTATAAGGTTCTTTGTTAAATGTAACGTCGTAGGTTTTACTATTTTTATAAAGTTTTAGGTTTTGATATTTTTTTAAAGAAAAGTTTGTTTTGTGAAAAGCTTTTTGCTTCCGCTATATTTTATAACGTGTTTCTAAACTCACTAATTCCTTCTTACTGTAAGTTTTTAAATTGCACTAGTATAGTGAGTGCATATGCTCTATTGTCTTCAGATAAGCAAAAAAGACAATACTTTAAAAAAAAGTGGATTTAAAAAAATTGAATTAAATTAATCCAGACAGCAGTAACATTGAATAAGGACATGCACCGCAACTAAATAGCGAAATCATTCCAAAAACATATTTTAGTTGGAAGAATAATCTAGGTTTATTTCTAATGCTAGAAAAAAATTCATAATATTGCTTTTATAATAAATTCACGAAAAAAAATTAAGTTACATAAACTTTAGAAAACTTGGTGCATAATCATGTCTTGCTTTAAATAATCGAACTACAAATAAAGTCGTAGTCGATACATTTCGCATAGATAAGTTAAACGTACTACTGTAATGTGTTGCATTAATATTCTGTAAGTTTACTGCAATCTTTAACTAAGTTGAATCATGTTTCAGCTAAGGTGGAGTCATAGGTGTTGTATGAATAGCTTATACAACCTTACCAAAAGTTGCTGAAAATTAGCTCGTTACTATGTTTCATGAACCAGTAATTTGCCACGTAAGGTTTACTACGAGCAGCTTAAAAATTTATAAATCGCTGATAGAAACTAAATTAAGGTAACTCACGTGATGGAATGTGCAGCAATTTCGTGACCTTTTCTGTGCAACTCTTGTACGGCAGAATAATTGGTGTATTTGTGAGAAACGAAGAAAGTACCCTTGGCGGAACAACCATTTGGATTGTTTCTGCCATCTTTGAAGATTCTTTCGTACACAATAATGTTATTATTGTTGACGGCATCGTCGAAGGTAATGGTAATCATTTGTGGCACTGTGTTGGGTTCCAGTCTTCCTGGGATCTGTGTTCCATCTGGGGAGCAATAACAATCTGGGAGGGCACATTGGCTTGGGTCACATGGAGGGGCCCTGTTAGGATCCCGGTCAACAGCTGTAAAGAAATATTATCCATACATGAAAATTTTGGCTATTGATTTAGTTTAAACTAAAATTTCAGTCTGAAATATACAGATTTTTAACTAAATTGACATTGAGCACTGGAGTATATGAATTCGATTATTGGAATAGCGTAAAAAGTGTGGAAAAAAAACTTGGTCATTATCTATAAAAACATAGCTGCTTTTCAAAAGTATCAATTTTTTAAAATTATTTTTTGTAAAGGTGCGTTTTTAAGAAATAAAGCCTTCCTTTAAAATGGTTACTTGATTATTGTGTAACTATGTCTTGAATATGCAATATAATTTTCATTGCTAGAAAAATATTTTGAGAAGAACAGACGGGTAAATCTGCATTAAAAAGTAAATAAATGACATGAAAATAAAATTTTGAAAAATATTTTCAATAAAGGTAAAGCGATGACTCCACAGTTTCAGAAAATTTTAAAGCTGATATATGAAAAAAAATTATAGTATTACCCATTAGTTACGCTTTTGATAAAAAGAAAAAATTTGCAATAATTAAGATTTTTTCCAAAAATGGGTCTTTCATTTCGAATTTTCTGTTTTCAAACATCAATTTACAAAAGAAAAAAAAATTGCTGATAATTCTACAAATTTATCTAAAGCAATATGAGAAATTAAAAGTTTCTTACAAGCTCAGTTTCCAAATCTGAACTTGAACTCTGTAACTAGGATTATTGAACTGAACTTTGTTCAGCAAAATACATAATCCACATTTTGAAGCATTTAAGTTCCAATACACGGCAGCAGATATTAGAATTTTCCATTCCATAATGTATTTATATAAACCTGGGGTGTCCAGAACGTTTCAATGTCCTTATTTCATTAGCTCAATCCATCCGAATATTAAATTATATATTTGTCTTCGTTCATGATAAGCTAGTAAGCAATAATGCAAGTTTGCAAAACATTATGTGGTTCACAAAACTTTAAGTTCTTAACCAACTCTAGCGTTGTTAAAGGTAGAGCACCGCTGGCAAACTTTTTTATTGTAACAAAGAGTCTTAGTTTGCAGAAGTCGTGTCATATTTTATTCCAATTTCAGCAACTATTTGCCAAACTATTAGAAACTTTTTTCATCCAATTCAAGATCTAAACAGAATACTTGGGGCTCATAAAGATTTTTTAAATTGCTTTAGCGAAGTTAACCCTTTGCTTTTTTAAATTGCTTTAGCGAAGTTAACCCTTTGCTTACTGTGTTCCGTGTTGTACCATCAAATGAGGTCCATATGTTGTTCCACCGTAAGCAACAGGTTAAAGGTTATGCACCAAAGTATGCATAAATTGTAGCAGAGAGATCTAGTTTGCAAATGTCATGAGATTTTTTTCTCTATAATAACTATACTTACTGCAAGCGTTTTCATCCGATCCATCACTGCAGTCTGGTAATCCATTACAGAATAATTCCCTTTCAATGCAATCTCCATTACCGCAGGCAAGTTTTCCAGTTTCACATAGTGGTTCATCAGTTGCTAGAAGAGGTGTTGCCAAGCGAGGTTCTGAAATAAAGAAATGAAAATTATGACATTGCTATTTGATGACGCTAATGTTTGAAACGTTCCTTTTAACTAAGACGGTTGTTATTCTAATTCATTTACGTCGCACTAGAGCTGCACAATGGGCTATGGGCGATGATCTGGGAAACATCCCTGAGGATGATCCGAAGATATGCCTTCCCAATTTTGATCCTCTGTAGAGGGGATGGCACCCCCGCTTCGGTAGCCCGACGACCTGCACGCAAAGTCTAGCGCTTTACGGTAGAACAGTTTAACGAGGACCAATACCGCACACCCTCGGTCCCTACGCAGACTGATTCAAGTGGTCACCCGCCCGCACACTGACCGCAGCCAGTGATGCTTGACTTCGGTGATCTGCTGGGAACCGTGTCTTAACGATCAGTCCACTAACTAAGACGGAATTGCATGAAACTAAAAATTGACAAGACATATCTGCTTCACGTTTTTCTAAACTGAAGTGGAATGCTAAAATGGAAAATATTATTATTTCTACTACCATTACTATTTAACAGTTTTTTTTCTCCAAAATATATTGTATAGATTTTATTTTTAAAACAAAAGCTTCATTGTACGTTAAATCATAATATAATGAAAAAAAGAAATAATAAAGAGGAAGGACGAAAAAAAAAAAGAAGGAGGTGAGATATAACCCAAATATGAGTCTACCATATAAACCAGAAATCTGGTTTGAACTAGCATCTAATCCTAAAATGTGGTCTACCATCTAAACATAAAATGTGTTTTAACATCTAACCCAAAAATGTAAACTAGCGTCTAACTTAAAAACGCGCTCTAAGATTTAACTTAAAAATGCGGTCTACCATCTATCCTAAAAATGTAAACTAGCGTCTAACCCAAAAACGTGGTTCATGTAACTAAAAAATGTAAATTTGTGTCTAATCCAAAAACAATGTCTAATTCAAAAATGTGGTCCAGCATCTGAATCAAAAATGTGGTCTAGCAATTAACAACAAAAAAAAGCGACCTAGCATTTAACCCAAAAATGTAGTTTTAGATTCATCCCAAAAATGTGGTCTAGAATCTTGCGAACGTTTTTTAAAAGTAATTGTGTTTTTTTTCTTTTTAATTTTTAATTCTTTCTGTGCATACAACTATTGTTACGCGCTATAACTACGCATACAAACATAAATTGACTAATGATTTTTTTTCAAAGAAAGGCAAAAAATTTTTTTTATTATTTTTAAAAAGTTATATATTTACGCAAAAAAAAAAGTTTATGAACAATAATTTTTAGTTTGATCTATGACCCACGTAATCTAAACATTTTTGAAAATAATTGCAAAACTCGTTCATCAAAGTCATTAGTGATCAAAATAACTTAGAAAGATTTCAATTTTTCTACGTCATTTAAAAATAAGTTTTTTTAAGTATCAAAATACAAAATTTGAGCAGAATCTATCAAATTCAAGAATAAAAATTGAATAAAAAATCTAAAATTAAAAATAAGTAGTTAAAGTTTTAAAATATGACAAATTTTAATTTTATTACTCTGATTTTATTACCAATTTTGTTAAAAAATTTCATTTTGTCATAAAAACTTTCGAAAATCTTTTTAGCTTTTCTTTTTAATTTTGTATAACTTTGCTAGAGTATTTTTTTTTTTTTTGAATTTTGTATTTTTAAGTCTATATTTGATAAAAAAAATAATGAATTCAAAAATTAAATTTTGCATGAAATAATTTTTGCATAAACTAGTTTTGCGAGTTTTTTTAATTGTGTCCAAATTTTTTTTAATTCGTCCAAATAGTTCTGGAGATATGTTGAATTTCGCAAAAAGTAAAGTTATTGTTAAGGTGATCAGACTATATTGGGCAATATTTTTTACCCCCATTACACTTATTATTACACCCCTATTACACTAATTTTTTTTATTATTACAGCTGCCTCTTAAGAATCAAGAATCCGAATCCATGAAAAAAGCGTTTATTCAGAGAAAGTTCATTTTTGTGACTGTTTTCGTAACTTATTAAAACATCTGCTCAAATTAATCAGCATAATTTAAATTAGATCCCCAAATTATTAAAATCGCATTTTAGTACCGGAATCAAAATCAAAAGATATTTCGGTGTTTTTTTCTTTATTTTGCTCATTGTACACCTGTTTATTGCTTTATTAGACTTCATTAAAATTTATGAAATGAACGTTAAAATATACGTAATTTAATGCACTATTAATATTATAAATAATTTTTGTTTTTATTAATTAAAAATTCATAAACCTTTTTTAAAAGAAGAAAAAAAAACAGAAAATGATATGTTTTTCTAACTTCTTACTAAGAACTTGAAAATAAATAAATAAAATTTTTTTTTGAGATCTCCGCCCTGAAAATTGGCTTATTAAAATATTCAAGCAGGAATTTGAAAATAATAAAACAAATTTTAAAAAAAAGCAGATCATTAATATTTCGCAGTTTTTTTTTATAACGAAAGTATGTTTTGCCGGCAGCTACCTAAACCATGAGCTACTAGCATCAATTATTTAAATTGGATGCTCTCAGCTGAATGACGACTATTCGTTTTACTTTTTTACGCTTGCGGGTTTATTTCGTTTATTTAATTCTCATTTTGTTTCTTTTTATGCAATGAAGCGTTTAAAACTCACTTTTTCTAGAAAATTCTTTCTATGATATATGACATGAATACTAAATGTATTTTATCGTCTAGGAATGCAGACATCATAATTATTTTTATTTATTGAAGCAATATGATTATAGTTTTAAAGTTATTATTATTATTATAACTGGAAAGTAAAGGAGATCACTAACTTTTCCCATTATTAAGCACGAATTTCTCATCATTGTCTTTTGTGCATGCAATTTTTCGCTCACAAAAATGAAAAACAACACATAATTTAATCGATATAGAGTCAATTTTCTGGCATTTTAACTGTAGATTTAGGTATAATGATAAAAAGATATAGGTCATACGAAATTGGGATTTCTGTTCATGTAAATTAATGCCGTCCTATATTGAAATTTTAATATAGCGATCCATCGTCAGGAAATATCAATATATCGTGATATTTATTCAATTTGGTCAACAATGGTCATAATTTTCGTTACCGAAATGATATTTATCAACTCTTACTATAATATTGTTTCCGACGATCTTCGTAATCAAAAATGTTACTCACAAAATTAATGTTACTTACAATATTATCGCTTTCGATACTTATTGCTGTCATATGTGATCGCAATATTATCGTTGTCGGCAATTACAATAGATTCTATATCGGTTGTGAACATTTATATTGAGAAAATAATTTTTGAAATTTTATTATCATTGTGCTTGAAAATTATCGACATAGCACAATACATTTCGCAGTTCTATTGTTAATGTTTCTAATTTAGATTTTCTACAATTACGTAAAAACATTTGTATTTTATTTCGGAAGTTCAATTGCACTATAAATTAGTTTTAAACGAAGAACTTTTTTCCATGAAGATAATTTCTAAAGTAATATTTAAGAAAAAACTGGTGTATTCTTTAATTTTTTTTACAGTACTATATGCAATAATGTAATTCGAAAAAGAGCGATAGTATTTTTTTTTGTTGCATTTTATGGAAAATTAATTTTTAATCAACTCATTAATAATTAATTTTGCAATAATATTTTGCATTTTAACATTAAATATCTTTAAAATTAACTGAGAAATTACTAAAAGGAAGAAGAAAAAAACAAATCCGGGGGAAAATTTTTTGTTTCACTTGAATAAATTGAAAGAGGTAGTACAATTTCGGCATGTAATGCGATGCATTGCACCCCCTTCCCCCCCAAAAAAAATCTAAAACTACGTAAGATTTGCAATAAAATAAAAAATTCTGGCAATTGAAGATTTTAGTGAAAGAAGGTTTCAACTGGGTAAGTTTTCTTTGTAAAAGTTCTTATTTCAGTCGTGTTTATTTATATAACATTGATTTATTTTGAAAATCTTTGAATTTCGGATATATCTGTGAATATACAGTACTAAGTGGCATTTTCTAAGTATTTTGGAGTGGAAGAAGGTCTAAAGCAGATTTGGCAACAAACAATCTACAAGAATTTCATCATTTTTTGAGAAGACCATAATTTTCTGCTCATTGGACAGAAAATTAAAAGCGCCTCGAGAGTGAACGTCGTGACTCCAAACTCAAATGAGTGTTACTCCATTTCATCAAACTCCATTTTAACTCAAATGAGTGTTAGGGATTTTTTGATTCCTCCAAATGAAATGCTTGGGGATAAAAAAATAACAGCAATACCGACCCTATTTTCAATGCATGGACTTCAAAGTTAATTTATTCAAATTCACTAAAAGTTCTAATCCTAATTTTAAAATAGTATATATGAATATATGGCTTTTTTTTTTACTTACTTTCTAACTGTTCGCAATTTTTGACATTATTCTTCCAGTCGCAAGTCTGCTTTTCGATGTCAAAAGCAAGACCAGAAGGACACCTAAGAGCTAGGAGACCCTGGACAGAGCACCTGACTACGTCTCGGCAGTCATCGTCAGCTGTCAGACGAAAATATTCACTGGGTGATCTCTCTTTGCACAACTCTGCGTCATTTTGACCATCCACTTGTCTCTTAACAATTGATATTGAGAGAACTGCAAGAGATAAAATAATAATTAATTAACAATAATTAAAAATATTAATTAATAACTCCTTTCGCTGCCTGTCTAGAGCACTGTTGGTGACTAGAGATTGAATTTATTTCGTAAAACTATTTTGTATAATATATTATTGACACGTGTCGGCAAGGGAAGTAAAGGTTAAAAAAAAAAATGCTTTTCTTGTTTCGATTGCAACTGACAGACCTAAACTAAGTGGCGGTTAGACAGACAGTTCTTTGGTTAGACAGACAGTATAAACAATATATTATATGGGTCAAGTGAAAATGTGAATGAAATAAAACTCATTTTTGATGGAGAATAAATGTGATTTTTCAAAAATAATTTTTCATTTAGTTCCAGGTAAGAAACACTAATTTATTGGAAATGGTGGTTTACAATAACATAGCGAATTTATTTGATTTTTATCGTGAGAATAGCAAAATATTAAAAGTAAAATAAAATATTTTACAATTGGAATCTATGACAAGCAATTATTATTATTATTATTTTACCCAAGGGAAATTGGCAGTGTTTGTCATATTAGCGAAACTTATAGCGTTATTTAACATGAAGTTGTTATTTTAAATGATAAAATCAATATTAATGGTTTTAAATAGTTTGGGGGGACCAAAGAGGCATAGCATTTTTGATTTTGCTAAATTTTGTTTTTGCTTTTGAAAAGAGAAAGAATGCACAGCACTCAAAACGGTCCTAAGTAAATAATGCTTTCAAATTTACGGATGGTATAGAATATGCTATATATAATTAACTATCGTTCAAAACAATTGGTAAAAACTTTATCTATTCAATAAGCACTTTTATTTAATTTCTTAGCCTGTTTGTTATACATTTTTTGTGGTTAAAAATTATTTTTTTTACTAAAATGTTCTACTTCTTTTCAACGCGTGAAATCACCCATTTCGCTTCCATGTCTTGTTTTACGAAGCAATAAATACTGATAACTTAAATATTTAAACGTTAAAAATTATTTTCAATAATTCAATAATTATATTAATAAAGTATTTATGTATAATCTAAAATTACATATCCTATGGCAACAAATCCTTCATTCGGCAAGGAATGAGTTAAAGTAAGTTTTTAAATACTTTTTAAATCTGAAGATTATGGTATAGATATAAATTCAAAGAAGCATTATAATTCCGAAAATTTAATTATAATCCTGATAAAACATTGCAATGATTGTGTATAAGAATCGTTACCCATTTATTGCTCATCAATGCAATAACTCAAAATTTCTTTTATTTCTTCTCATTGTTTTGAGTTTTACTTAATTTTTTTTAGAAAAATGTTCACATATATTTTCATGACAAACTAGGTTTCACAAAAAATACATAAAATAAATAAAACTACGTAACAAAATTATCGGTTCTTGAAATAATATGGATGTTAGGGAAGCGTGGATATGGGGCTAGAGTAGACATCTTGAATAACTTTTTTATTTCTTGATCAAATTTCTTCTGTGAGATATCGTAGATTATTAACACTGAATGATACTTCAGCAGAAATTCGTAAAAGATGGTTTTTTATGGAACAAAAATAACTTTCGAATGTTCCATTTACCTTTTTAGTTACTTAATTCTGAATTTCAACAAAGGGTGATAATAGGTTATAAATAATATTATTTTTTACTTATTTATGATAACTTGAGATCTGTTTAATTTCAAATTTCAATTACCCAGCATTCAGCATAAATAACAAATTTCTTCGTGAAGGTGTAGTGCAGAGATGTTTATATCACTAGCCCCAGTTAACTTCCAACGGAAGAGACATGAATATATATATATATATATATATTTTTTTTTGAAAGTTAAACTATTATATAATTCTAGATATAAATGAGAACGCAGTTAAACGTCAATATTATTGTCAAAAAATACTTCTTGAGTTAGAGATCATCATATTAAGCGGAGTTTTTTTTTGTTGACAAACTTCTAAGACAATACCCACACAAAGTCTTTCTTTCCTGCCAAAAATATATTAGCTACTCGCATCTTAAATAAATAATTCGCAAAAGGAGATACATTAATTTTGTAAAATCTTGTGGTATTTTTTGCATGTCATTAAGGACACATGATACTTTTTTTTTACATCGCACTACCCTACAGTGAACTATTAATTATCAGAAATTTCTCAAGGTGCACAACTCCATAAAAGATGTTTAGTGAATTTAATTTCGAGGACATCGAATAATAAAAAATAAAAAAAAGACAATGATGTCAGCTTAGTTTTTTGTGCTGACACAAATGCAGAACTGGTTCTCGTAAAACGGGGAAAACGCGGGGACATTTCGGACGAGGAAAGCGAATTAATGAAAACAAAAGTGGGGTTAAACCCTCGAAAGTTATGTACTGAACGCCCTCCAAGAACCGATCAGATCTATGTCATACGTCAAGCATTGTCGTAAGCTGCTTCCTCAATTTCGTTTTTTAGACAAGAATTCGCCCTACGGCCCATGGGCGGATTAGGGCTTGACACTCAATTTCTCGCAGATACAGAGTGGATTTGGAATTTTTTAAGTTCTTTTTTTTTTAAACATTGCCCTATTTCAAGGTGGCTACGGCTTTCAATTTCATCTAGAAGAAATTCCATTTGACCATCGTTTTTTTCTTCTTCTAAATTTAGAGTTTATTGCATCTCTGTACGTGACTTCACTTTCAAATGGCAATTCAAAGAATTCCAACTCAAATGTGAGGCTTTGAATAGGTATTTAAGTTGCATAACATTGAAAGCAGGTAAAAAAATAAGAGAAAAATTTATGACATTTTGTTTCCTCCATACTACATTACTCTTGCTTAATTGAGATGATATGTCAAATCTCCATCAACATCCGGGACCAAATTTTTACTTGATAATGTATATGTTATTGTAAAAAACCTGAAGTCTGAAAATTTTCTACGTTTTGAATGTAAAACGTAGGGTTTACCAAAGTGGTTGGTAGCTCCTAGGTTTTACTACAAAGGCTTGATAATAAGACGAAATGGAATCATATTAAATCATACCTCAGACTTTTACTAAACTACTTTAGTAAAAGCTAGGTTTTACCACCGGTGAACCTAGGATTTGCAAGGTTTTGATATTTTACCGTAATATATATACATATTTGTTTTGTATAATAGAATGGCGTAAGAACTAGTAGTTTATTATTAATATTTTAAGAAATATGAAATAATGAAACATAAATATTTTCGGGTTTTAAAATTCGGTTTTGGCATGCAGAATTCTTATAAATAGTGTATAAATTATAGCAATTTTCATCTGATAAGGAAAAGAGAATTGAAAATGGAAGTGCTGCTTTCTAGGAAGGAAATTTTTGCATTTATATTTTCATAAAAAATACTTTAAAATTAGATTTTATATTTTTGTACAGTTTACAAATTATTGGTGCCAAAAGTTAGAAACCCACACGAAATTTCCTTCTGCAAAGTTTTGTTATATTTTATGATTTATCTTATTTTATTCTTATTTAACCATCTAATTTTTTCTTGATATACTTTTTTTCAAGAAAAAAAGAGAGAACATACTTAAAATTAGAAATCTATGCTGAATTTTTATCACTAAAGAATTAAAATGTGATAAATTCTTATTTTCTTCAATATATGCGATCTCAAGTAGTAAAGTTTGTAGGTTGGAAAAGCTTAAAATCTAATTTTGACTTACTTTTTTCTATATAAAATAATCTGGCACTTTTACTATACTTTAATATTTTGAGCTCATAGATTATAATTATCATAAAGATTAAAAAAACAGAAAGTAAGTTTCAACATAACCAAAATAAAGTATATTTTTTATTTCCATATTTCTATGAATTCAAGATGTTGGTCTTAACTTCTGAGTGTAGTCAACCTATCGTTCCAATGGGTTGTTCAAGAAGTAATTTCGTCTTTACCCAACCGAAAACAGGTAATTGTATTTTTTCATAAAGTTATGCTGCATCCTTATGCTGCATTGTTGTTATGTATTTTATCAGCGGATATAGTAGAGCTAAGTTGTGAAGAAGTTAGTTTGATCAAATATGAAAAATAATAGTGAAAAATGTTCAGAATTCTTAAAAAGAAATGATACCATGTTTTACAAAGATAATACAAGATCTCATACAGTTTGATGGTAACTCACCAAAAAGCCCTTAAAAATTGGTTAACATTTACTATACACTCTCTATGTTTCCCAGATCTGGTACTATTTGTTTGATCTTTGTTTGATCAAATAGGAAAAAATAATAGTGGAAAATGTTCAGAATTGATAAACAGAACTGATATGGTGTTTCATAAAGATAATACAGGATCTCATAACTCACCCAAAAGCTCTTAAAAATTAGGCAGCGTAAACTACTAGACCCTCCATATTTCTTAGATCTGGAAATATTTCTTTATTCTTTTTCCTGTTTTGCCCTCTAAATTAATTTTTAAATAGGTAAAGCTTAAACGTTGAGACCGACTTAGACTATTTTGTCAGCAAAGATAACTTTTATGAACGTGAAGTTATAAAATTTCTGGAAGAAGGTAAAAGAAATTTTGCCAAAATAGAGAATAAGAAGTCAAATATTTTCGCATCAGCCAACTGTGGGACAGGGGGAGTGGACTGCAAAATTTCGTGAATTGTCGCAATATGGTTAACATTAAACACATGCTGCCTTAATTTTCTAGATAAACTGATACTCATTTATCTAAAGCTGCATGGGCTTGGAGCCACTACCGGGAAACGAACCCCAGTTCTTCACTATGTCAGTTCAATACCCTAACTATTGAGCGAGAATATATGATTGAATAAAATATTTAAAAGCTATTTGAAAATCATCCTTCATTAGAAAAGAAAACAAATTACTTTCCAAACAACCCGATATTCAAATTTCTGTTGCTGATTGACAATGGCTTCAAATACAAGGTACAATATCATCAAGTAAATCCTAAAGCGTTGATAAAGCCTTTAAAAGTTTGTTCATTGAATTTCGGAAAGAATTTCGATATGTTTCTTAC